TCATAATAAATAAATAAACAAAGGGGGGTGAGTAGGGCTCAGCGGCCGGGGGCCCCCCCACTTCCCGTCTCAGAGCTGTTGGGGACCAGGGGGCGTGGTCGAGAGCCCTGGGGAGCCGTAGCCTCTGCTCCTACCTGCAAAAGCCGGGCGGCCCTTCTGTTCCGAGCTGGGGGTGGGCTCAGGCCCAAGACAGAAGGAACCTCCTCTCCTAGGGGACAGGTCCTGGCGGGGGGGGGGGGGGGGGGTGGGAGTCACAGCTGGAGAAGATGGGGGACCGAGCAATGAACGCAAAACAGGCTGGCAGTGGGGGCGAGGAGAGAGATGGGAGGGACAGTCAGGGGGCTGGGGGGCAGGGGATGCAGCACGGTCTCTAGGGACCCCTCCTCACTCCCCAGACTCGCTGCCCCTGTGGCTCCTGGACTCGCAGACAGTGCTGGTGCTTGAACTGACTTGAACGTCTGCGCCCTGGTCCAGATCTGAGCTGGCGGTGATGGCGGGAACCCGGACGGTCTGTCTGTCTTGCTCACAGCGTGTCCTGAGGATAAGCCCAGGGCCCTGCCGGCACAGGGAGCTCGTGTTGAGTGGACGCAGACACATCCCCCCAAAGCTGGGGGTGTGTGGCCTGGCAGGTGCAAGTTCTCAGGGATGACAGGGTGGAGGCTGCAGTGTTGCCGCCCCGGTGATTGGGAGGCCGTGAGAATGGACGCACCCGTCCCCTGGCCATGGGGGTGCTGGACCGTGACCTTGGACACCCGAGCCCCGTGGGAGTCCAGTTGCAGCGCTGACCCTGGGCGACCGGAGGCAGTTGCCAGGCTCGCCGGGCTCTGCTTCCTCGTCTGGACGTGGGGACAGGTCAGAAGCCTCCTGGGCTGTCGGGGGTCAGGGAGGCGACACCGTGAAGTGCCCAGGGCGATCCCTGGCATGGCGGAGGTACTCAGAGGGTGCCAGCTGCCCTGCCACTCGGGCCTGGCGGCGTCTGTGGCCCTGGAGCTGCGTGGCCGCGGGCAGGTGGGCCCCGGAGCACCCGCAACCTGGGGGATGGGTGCCTGGCCCCTGTCCCCCCGCCTGCTGTACAGCAGGCGTTAGGCTGCCCAAAGGGGACACTGCATCCTTAGGAAGAAATATGTCCTCATTTTTCTTAAACACCGTTTCCACTGAGTGAAATGTTTAGAAGGGACGCAGAGGGAGAACTTTATTTCCTACCAGGGAGTTCAGAGCCACCAGGCAGGGCCCATAAAGCACCCGGAGCCTGGTAGCTGACAGGCTGCCCGGCCCCGAAACACATTACTCACGGGGTGGGGGGGCAGGGGGGGATGCCAGGCCTGCCCAGCCCCCAGGGGCTCCCCCCAAGGCGGGACCAGCAGCCTGAGACCCCGGGCTTCTCCCCTTGAGCACGGGTGGCCCAGGCACGGTGGTTCCAGCCGCCCCCACCCCCTTAGTCCCCAGAGATCAGGGGCCAGGGCCCAGGTACAGCCCCAGGAGCCCCCGTCCCCCCGCAGCTGGCAGGAGCCCTGGCCTCCTCAGCCTGTGGAGGGAGTGATGAGATTCCTGCCATAACGGGCCTTCCTCCCGAGGCCCTCCCGTCATTGGATTTCTGAAGCTGGCTGATTTGAATATTTATAAATATCAGTAAATTATTTATTGTAGCAATCTGCTGCACCATTTTACCCATCGCAGTTAACACTTTAGGGGGCTCCATGTTGTGGGAACCAGGAGTGGGGGTGAGGGGGCCACGGGGCCGAGAGGCCTGGGACTTCTGCAGCCCACCCAGAAGCCTGAGCTGAGGACACGGTGGCAGCCCTGGCGCCTCGCTCAGCCTGCGGCCCTTGTGAGCCCGGGCTCTGGGGTGTCTTCGTGGCTCCAGGATCGGTGGCCTCGTGTATCGAATGGGATGATGGTGGCACCTGCCTCACTGGGTCACCACGAGGCACAGCCTGAGATAGGACCCCAGGGATGTACCGGAGGCTCCGGGTTCTGTCCCCCTGCCTGCTGCCAGGAGAGCTGCTTGCAGGTGGTCTGGTGGAGCTTGGAGACCCCGGGAGCTGGGAGGGGCCGTTCGTTGCTGAGTGGGCAGCCTGCCGCCCCCACCGGGGCCCCAGCGTCTCCGCTCTCCCCTTTCTCTTCTGGACCAGATGACCAGATGAGGTTTCCAGGTCTTGGGATCGCCTGCCTGGATGTGCACTGCACCTGCCGGCTCGGCCCTCCAGGGCTCAGCCGCCCTCTCCCAGGTCCTCGTGTGCCGGGATCCTCCCCCCTGACAGTTACTGTGGTTCTTTCATGGGGAGAGAGCCTGCCCAGGGCCCTGAGCTGGCAAGGGGGAGAGCCAGGCTGTGCCCTGGTGCCGTGCCACCTCCGAAGGCTCACCCCACGGGGCCAGAGGCTAGAGGCCAGGAGAGGCCCTGGGCCTGTGGCCTGGCTGCAGGGCCTGGCCGCTCTTTCCCGGGGCCGGACTGGGCCCCCGCAGCTGCCCCTTGTCTCCTTTCTGGAGCCCGCCCCTGAGTAAGCAGCGCAGGAGTCCCCTCGCCTTCCCACCCTCTGGCCCAAGCCTGCCTCCTGGGCAGTATTGTTCCCAGAGGAAGTGTCCAGTGTAAATAGAGCAGCGGGCAGGCTGGTGGCGGGAAGGAGATGAAAGGGGGCAGTGACAGGGCCGGGGACGGATGGCTTCCTCCCATTGAGGCCTGGCCACGGCGTTTATATTTTAGGGAAGAAAGTCGGGGGAATGTTTACATGGCCAGGAGCCTGGGGTCAGACCACGAGGGGGGTAGTCTGTATGTCCCAGGGCCCTGATGGGGGGCGGGGGAGAAGGACTCCATGGAGTAGGCCGGAAGGCGGGTGGGCAGGCCGCTTGGACCTTCGCTCTTTCATACTCCCTCCCGCTGCCCTGGCCTCTGCCTCCTGCCCTGCACCCCAGACCCACATGCCTTCTCCACCTCTACCCCCGGGACCAGCAGTAGAGTCAGAGGGAGGGCAGCATCTGGAAGGCAGGTGGGCTGGGGCAGAGCAGCAGCTGGAGGGCAGGTGTGGGGGGTGTAGGCGGAGCAAAGGGGCCTGCGGGCTGGGGGTGGGCCCTGGGCTCACAGCTGCATCACAGCTGGTGGGGGCCCAGGAGGGACAGAGCTGGGCCCGCGGCCGAGACCAGGAGAGGGTGGGCTGGACTGGGTGGGCCCCAGTGGTGGGAGGCTCCAGGATGGGTGGGAGCCCAGGGAGGGGGTGTCACCAGCAGCAAGTGCAGCCCTGGGAGCTTCTGCTTTCCTCTTCCTTGGGATAAATATTTATAGATCCATTTGCTGTCTGCCATACACACTTGGCTGCTTACCTCCTCCTGGTAAAAATAGAGCAGGCTCCCCGACTCCCCCCTCCCCTCCCCACCGGGGCAGGGCGAAGGGGGCCAGGTGAGGCCCGCTGCCTGTAGGTCTGCTGCAGACAGCCTGGCGACTGGCCCAGGGGTCGGGGCTGGTGTGACTAGGGGACCCATCACTGAGCTTCGAAGAAGAGCGGCGTCCGTGCTTGGAGACCCGGGAGTGGGCAGCACGCACCCGGAGATCGGGCGTACTTGTAGAGTGGGCCCCTGGCCTGGGCAAGGCTGAGAGCCCAGCGGAGCCTTCTCTGCCTCCCTGGGCTGGGTCGCCGGCCGGGCTCCGCGCAGGCAGCCGGCTTTGGGCACGTATGGCTGCCGGGCGTCGTACAAGCACCCGTGCGTACAAGCCGGTCTCCTGTGGGTGGGCAGTGTGGCCAGCCCATCTGGGCGGGGGGGGGCCCTCCGGGGGCTTCCAGGTGTGGGGGTTTTCAGGGCGTTGACCCATCAGAGGGAAGCCCCGTAGCCCTCGGCCCTGGGAGCAGAGCCCCTGCCCTCACTCGGCCTTTTGACCACTGTGGGTGGAGACTCAGACGTGCCCGTTCCTCCGCTGAGGGACACGCGAGAGGCCAGCGGGCCCCCTGTGGGGTGGCTGAGCCTGTCTGCCGGGCCCACCGCAGGGGCTGGCACACATCGGGGCTAAGTGACGGAGAGGTGCAGGACAGAAGACAGACACAAATGTGTATGTGCGTCCACCCTTGGCCTTTGTGGCAGGTCCCACGTGTGTGGTCAGTGGGTCTGCTGTGCACCTGCGACCCCAGGGCCTGGGCGCCACACTCGGCAGCCGTGAGGAGGCGCCAAGACCCCGGGCAGCCTAGTTAGGGGTCATGTTCGGGACTTAGGCACCGATGCTACAGCTTTCGTGCCCTCCGTGGGGTCTGAGGAACCCCAGCCTGCTCCAGCTGCGGCTTTTCCAGGCTGGGAATGGGCTTCCCGGAGTCGGCCAGGCCCCGAGGACGCCGAGTGAGGTCCCTGGACAGGGACGAGCAGCTCTCTTGGGACCGTGAGGTGCTCTGCCCTTGAATGGCCCTCGCTGAGGCTTGGGGACAGGAAATGGCCAGAGAGGACGGGACTGAGGAAAAACAGAGGCCTTCAGAGGGCCCGGGTGGCTGGGGGAGCCGGAGGAGACCTCGGGGCTGTCTGGGGAGCAGAGGTGGGAGTCCGTGGGGACCGGGCGCTGGCTCTGGTGCCTGAGATGCTCAGGTGGGGAGGGTGCCAGCCACCTGTGGCCGGGCCAGAAGGCAGGAGGCTGGCGCAGGGCGGCTCGCGGGGTGGCGGGCTCACGGCTAGAGCAGGCCTGCGTGCGTGCCTCAGGGTCCTTGTGTGTCCCCTCCTCTGCCCGGGATCACGCCTGGCCTGCCTCTCGGAAGAGGAGTTTAGGGAACGGGCATAGGATGGGCTTCCAGGAGCCAGGTGCTCAGGAGGAGCCAGCCCCTCGTGTTGGAAGATGTGCCGTTGGTGTGTCCTTGAGCCTCCTCGCACACGCCCGCCCTGGTGCGGGGCCTGGAGCGCGGGGCACGGGGCGAGCCGGGTCCCTGGGGCTCACAGGCTGGGGGGGGGGCAGGCGGGCTGCGGGGCCCTGGGGTCAGGGGGTGGGGGGTGCTCCTGGAGGGCTGGGCTCTGATCCCTCCGTCCACGCCCGCAGCTGAAGGCACCCGGTGCACCGACCCGCCCGCAGGCAAGCCCGCGATGGCGGCTAAGCGCAAAGGCGGCCTGAAGCTGAACGCCATCTGCGCCAAGCTGAGCCGCCAGGTGGTGGTGGAGAAGGCGGCGGACGCAGGCCCCCAGGCCGAGGGCAGCCCGCTGCGGCCGCGGGACCGGGAGGCCGGTGTGGCCCGGGGTGCCCGCAGCGAGGAGGACAAGAGGCGTGCGGTGATCGAGAAGTGGGTCAACGGCGAGTACAGTGAGGAGCCTGCGCCCGCACCTGGCCTGGGGCGGATCGTCCGTGAGGGCCTGGAGCTGCCCCCCGAGGGCGTCTACATGGTGCAGCCCCAGGGCTGCAGTGACGAGGAGGACCACGGCGAGGAGCCCCCCAAGGATGGCAGCGCCGTGGCGGAGAAGGAGTCCGATGGCGTGGCCTCCAAGGACGACAGCGGCCCTGCCACCAAGCAGGCCTCAGGTAGGTGTTGGCCGCCCGGGCTGGTGGACGGAGGGGCAGAGGGCATGATGCCGTGGGGGGCCCAGCGGGAGAGGGGGGGATCCTGGGGCCATGGCAAGAACAGGGGAGACTTGCTAGGGGCGGAGCGCAGCTTCCCAGGTGTGCGCGGGCTGGGGGCGGCCGTGCGCACAGTGGGTCCGGGGAAGCGACGGATGAGGACAGACTGCGGTGCCCACACCTGCGTCAGGGGAGCCTGCGGGGGCTGGTGAGCCCCAGGAGTGCCGAGCAGAGCTCCAGGCTGGGCCTGCTCGCCCACCCGCCCCAGCCCTCTCCCGGAAGCCGTCCCCTTCCCAGGGACACTGGCTGCCCCCCGTGGGACCTCGGGCTGGGGCACAATGGCCGCAGGATGGCCCCAGCCGGCCAGTGTGCATATCCCGTTACACCCACCTGCCCCGGGCATGCTCCTCTGGCTGACCTCTTCCCACGAGGTGGCCGAGGCCCGGCCCTCCGCTGCCTCCTTGTCCTTAGACTCAGAGCTGCCCGGAGCTCCTTCCACTGCATGGGGAGGGCCTGCAGCCTTGGGGGGACAGGGGTCACCTGCGCTAGGGTGGAACCCCAGGTCCGGGGTCCCGGCTCTGGCTCCCAGCCTCCCTCAGGCCTGTGCGGGGGGCCCCGAGCTCCCCTGCCTGCTCCCCGACCCCTTCCCCTGCAGCGAGGGGCGCATCTCCTCCCTGCGCGGGGAGCCCTGCGCAGCCACATAATTATGCATATAAGATATAAACAGAGCTGTTTAATTATCCTTCGCCACATCAGTGACAGAGTAATTAACAAACATTGCAAGATCAATGAGGAAAAGTGTGACCTTCAGTTTCCTCTGATAGGAAAAGCCCTTGCCGTTCCCAGACACAAGGTGATTGTGCTGAGCCAGAGGGGAGGGAGGGACGGGGACCGGCCGCGGTCTGTCGGGGCCCCGCTCTGCCTGGCTGCCGGCCTCGCTCTCCCCAGGAGGACAGCTGGGACGTAGGGGCCGGGCTGGAACTGCCCCCGGCACTGCTCCCCAGGCTGGAGGCGCCCTGGGACCCCGTTCGGTCCGCCCCGGGCACCAGGGAGAAGCCGCCGGAGCCCTCGCCGCCCACCAGGCACAGGCCCCTCCTTGGGGCCGGGGGCTCACACGCGCACAGGCCTCCGGGCTGCCCCAGACCCCCGCTGGGCCCCCCCCTCCTCTGAGCCGCCTGCCCTTCTGAGCCTCGTCTCTGCCATATATAGTGAGGGCCAGCTGCCTCCTGCTATTTTTAGCCCCTTTCCCTGGTCCCTGAACCACTGACTCTCGCAGCCAGCGCCCACTCCTCCCAGGCCGGGCCCCCAGCCCCACGTGGCCTGAGGGCAGGTCAGCGCCCCCACCCCAGCCACCCCACTCCAGGGAACGGCTGTCTGCCCACCTGGGGTGCCAGGTGCTGCCTGCGACTGTCCTCTCCTCACTAGACCCCGTGGGCTGGGACGCAGGTCGGGAGGTGACCCCCACGGGTCCTGGGCTTCCCAGCCCTTCGTGAGCTGTGCTCTCTCCTGCGGAGCCCTGAGGACTCTCAGCCTGGGGTCCTGCTACTCTGAGCGCGCCCTGCTTTGCTGGCTCAGGCGACCATGGAGGAAACACGCGTGTCCCTGAGGCCTACGGGGGCCTCTCCCCTGTGCACGTCCGCCCCCCATGCGGGGCATGGCACGTAGGAGGTGTCAGTGTCTGCACAGGAGTGAGCACACCTGTGTACACTGGGGCCCCACACATGTGCTGTGTGCACAAGGAGGCAGGTCTCCACAGGAACCCCCCTGGCAGAGTGGGGTCGTCTTGCCTCCACCATCATGAGACTCATCCTGGGAGACGCATGTAGGGTCTGGGGTGGTTTGTGGACCTGCGAGGGTGGCCAGGGTGTGCGCATGTGTGTTTGCTCATGTCCCAGCGGGGATGTCGCTCCAGGATCTCGGTGAGGCTGCAGTCCGTCCGCGGCCAGGGCTGGCGAGGCCAGCATCTCAGGCCCCAACCCTCTCCCCAGGATGACCTTCCGTACCCGGAGCTCCAGGATGATGGGAGGAGGCTTGTAGGGTTCCCCACAGCGTCACCCTCCCCTGGGGCGAGCAGCCCCCAGTGAGTCTGAGTGAAGGCGCTGGCAGGGCTCCTGCCCCCTCAGCCCTGTTGCCTGGGACCCTCAGCAACCGTGCGGGGGGGTGGGGGGCTGGTGGGGAGGCAAGAGGCCAGCTCCTGGGGATGCTGGGGCAGGCCCTCCACCTCCAGGGACGAGGGGCTGCGTGTCCACCTGGGGGGTCCGGGAGAGTCCTCCATGCAGGTGGGCTCAGCCAGTCCCGCCCCGACCGTGTCTGCCCCCGGGGTCCCCCCCCCCGACTGCCCGCCGCCCCATATCCCTCCTGTCCCCAGCCCCCGTGTCACCCCAGCCCTGGAGGCAGGTTGGGATCTGGCCTTACTTCCAGTAAAGTGACTTCTCTTTCATATTAGGCCAAGGCGAGAGAGAGGAGACATTTATGAAACTTTGTTTAATGTACTGAAAAGCCATCGGCCAGAACATTTAGGAAATTGATTTTCCTGGCATTGATGAACTCGTTTTATTTTACCCCGGTATTAATTACTTTTTTTTTAAACAAATTAATTTAAGAGTCGTAAAACCTAACAAGTGAGCCAAATGTCCATAGATCATGTCGTGCTCCGCCCCCTCCCCATGCCAGCCTCCTCCCTCTGTGGGTGGCGGCTCATGGGAGGGGTGCCCCCCACCCCTTGGCGACCCTGCCGCCTCCCAGGGGTGACTGGCTCTCCCCATGCTGCAGGAGAGGCCTCCTCGCTCCGGGACTACGCCGCCTCCACCATGACCGAGTTCCTTGGCATGTTCGGCTACGACGACCAGAACACGAGGGACGAGCTGGCCAGGAAGATCAGCTTCGAGAAGCTGCATGCGGGCTCCACCCCCGAGGTGGCCACCTCCTCCGTGCTTCCCGCCTCCGAGGACGCCCTCAGCAAGCGGGCACGCTTCTCCAAATACGAGGAGTACATCCGCAAGCTCAAGGCCGGCGAGCAGCTCTCCTGGCCGGCCCACAGCAGCAAGGCCGAGGAGCGGGCGGGCAAGGAGGTGGTGGGGCCCCTGCCCGGCCTGCGGCTGCCCAGCAGCACAGCTCACCTGGAGACCAAGGCCACCATCCTGCCCCTGCCCTCCCACAGCAGCGTCCCCATGCAGGGCCTGGTGGCCCGCGCCTCCAAGTACGACTTCTTCATCCAGAAACTGAAGACAGGCGAGAACCTGCGGCCCCAGAACGGGAGCACCTACAAGAAGCCATCCAAGTACGACCTGGAGAATGTCAAATACCTACACCTCTTCAAGCCCGGGGAGGGCAGCCCCGACATGGGCGGGGCCATCGCCTTCAAGACCGGCAAGGTGGGGCGCCCCTCCAAGTACGATGTCAGAGCCATCCAGAAACCAGGTCCCGCCAAGGCTCCACCCACCCCCAGCCTGGCTCCTGCGTCCCTCCCCAGCATGCCCAGCGCTCCCAGCGCCCCCGGGCCGGGACCTGAGCCACCTGCCTCCCTGCCTTTCAACACTCCCGAGTACCTGAAGTCGACCTTCTCCAAAACAGACTCCATCACCACGGGGACTGTCTCCACCGTCAAGTAAGGCACCCCCCATCCCGAGCCCGGGCCCGGGCCTAGGGTCGCCAGGATGGGAGGCCCACGTCTCTGCCTCCGAAGCCCGTCCTACCTTATGCATGTCCAGCACGCACCCCGGTTAACATACGCTCAGGTTCCCATCCACACACAGACACGCACTCGCTCATGCCCGGGGTGTGGACCGGACGTCTTGCTGCATGCACACTCGCTCTCACATACCGCATGCTTCTGTGCATGTGCTCATCTGCTGACACACACGCCGGGCACTACTGTGACCCCCATTTGCCAGTGACAGGCGCTCTCTGCCTCAGAGGCAGCCTTGAGGGGGGCTGGCACAGCCCAGGTCTGAGTTAGGGGCTCTGGCTCCACCCTGGTGACCTTGGCTCCCGGGTTGAAAGCCTGGGCCCTGGGGAAGGCAGCCCGAGAAGGCAGGAGTCTGGGGTGGGGCTGGCCACACTCATTGCTAACCCCCAGGCAATGGTAAAATTACCTGTGGCTCAGTTGTGTGGGGCTGGGAGGGGCCCTCCCCACCCCACCCCACCCCCCACTTGAGGCAGAGCCCAAATCCTAGGAGTTGACCTAGGGAGCTACCCGCTGGCCTTGGAGCTGGGGGAGCAGGTTTCTGACCAGCTAATCGCTTGTGCTTGGCACCGCTCTCGCCCCTTCCCCTGGGGGCTTCCCAGCATGCAACGGGGGCCAGGCCCCAGCTTCAGGGCTTCCTAGCCCGCTGGACACCCGTCAGGCCCACGACTGAGGAGGAGCCTCAGGACACGACAGAGCAAGAGAAGGAAGGGCCAGGGCCCCAGGGCCCCAGGGCAGGGAGCTGCCCCCAGCCGCTCCCGGGGCATGAGGCTACCCTCCGCTAATCGGCTGTGCCCTGTGTCTCTCGCCAGGAATGGATTGCCCACAGATAAACCAGCTGTCACCGAAGATGTAAACATTTACCAGAAATATATCGCCAGGTAGGCCCCTGGGGCGGAGACTGCCCCGGAGAGAAGGTGGGGTGGTGCCAGGAAGCCTGGGGCCTGTGGGACCGTAGGTGCGTGTGACGGCCAGTCCGGGGGGCCTGCTGCTTCCCCCCTGCACTCATGCCCTCAGATCACCCGAGGGTCTGTCTGCGCCCCGTCTCAGAGCCCCTTGGGGTCTGCCCCCTTGATGTGGGCTGGGCCGCACGCCCTCAAGCCCTCGGCAGGGCCTGGTCGCAGGTGAGCCCAGGGTCCCGCCACAGTGGACACAGAGCCCCGGTGGGATGCGGGCCAGCGCAGAACGGCGTGGGGGGTGTGGGCGGGTGTCCTCTCCAGCCTCAGTGTGCTCCCTGGGCCAGGCCTTGATCCTCGCCGCCCGACTCCAGACCCGCTCCTGAACATTTTTAAGGCAGGTGAAGCACCCCCCCTCCGCAGACTCCCCAAGTCAGGCCACTGAGGGCCAGCTTCTGACCAGGCTGCACAGGGCAGGGGCCGCTCCCGGCCTCGTCTTTCTCCTGACCTTCTAGGTTCTTCCCATCCTTCCCTGTCTTTTTAGCTTTGCTCCGTTCTCTCTATTATTATTATTATCATTATTATTATTAGGGCCTCAGCAGATGGCCCGTTTGGCTGCTTCGATGTAAATGTGTGTTTGCAAGTGGGGGTGTCCGCCCCTGCCCTGCAGTCTGAGGCCAGCCTTCTCTCTGGTTGTGGGCTCTCCCCAGAGCAGCCGTCACCAAGACACATGCATGCCCCCGCAGCCTCGGGGCCCGGGCAAGGCACGGGGTTTCCTGGGCGGCGGGCAGCGGCCAGGCAGCGTGGGGCTCCTGGCTGCGGAGTCGGCTGGAGAGCACGCTCCCTGCCGCAGGAAGCCGAACAGATGCTGTGCTTTAAAAATTCATAACCCTGGGCTGTTTCAAGTGTCAGGAAAGCCCAGGACAGAGAGAGGCTTTAACGCCTCTCAGCAGCCAGGCCCTCCCAGCCTGCATCTCCAGCACCTGGCTTAGCACCCGGGGGGCTGACGGGTGACACCTGCAGGATAGGCAGCGGGGCCTCACCACCCGCCCGCCCCAGGCCTCTGCGCCTGTCTCTGCTCTGACCTCTGGCCCGCCCCAGCTTCTTCCTCTCCATCTTGGTGCTAGGCCCGTGTGCCTCAGTGGGCCCTCATTCCCAGGACAGGGAGACAGGTCTGCAGTTCAGTGGCTCGAGGATTCCCCGCAGGAGCAGTCACTCCCCCTGGCCTCCTCAGGTTTCTGACACTTGACCCCATGGACTACCCGCCCCTCCTCCGCCCCAGAGCCCCTTGTTTCCCAGGGGCGCTGTCCCCGGCGAATGGACAAAGAATTTCTTGGCTGCTCTGGCCAGGGACCTGGGAAGAGTCCTCCTGGGGCTGCTGTCCGGGGAGGCCTGAGCTCACCGTCCTCCCTGCAGGTTCTCGGGCAGTCAGCACTGCGGCCACATCCACTGCGCCTACCAGTACCGAGAACACTACCATTGCCTGGACCCCGAGTGTAACTACCAGGTAGGACCCAGTGGGTGCCCGCCCAGCCCCTGCCCCTGAGAGGGGCTCCTCAGAAGCGGGGTGGGGGTGCTCGGTTCCGCTCAGGCTGCCTGAGCTTAACTCAAGCAGGCAGAGAACCCAGAAATCTAGCAGCTGAATAGGCATCTGATGGGATCTGGAGCCATCTGCATCCCTGGGATGGTAATTGGAGCTCCCCTCCCGGGGAGCCTGCCCGGCCCCAGGGCCGGGCCAGCAGGCGTCGGCACCTTACCTGACCCCTCCTGGTGTCCTCATGAGGGCGGTAGTCCTGCCCCCTCTAACAGGATAACCCTGAGGCTCAGACTGTGACTTAGGGTCAGGGCCTCCCCTGGGGAGCACGGGGCGGGTCAATGAGAGAGGAGTGCGGGCTGTCCCCTCTGGCTCACCAAGGAGCCCAAGCTGGCACGGCCCATGTGTGGTGCCGGGCAACCTGAGTTCTCAGCCATCGGAGCCTGGGTCTGAGGGGCCCGGCCTGATTCGGCTTCTCTGCTCCTGGGCGTGACCACTGGGAGCCTGGCGGGAGGTCAGGGCTGGGTCCGTGGCTCCGGAACCCTCTGAATCGCTCCGTGTCTGGTGCCCTGTGCTGGCCTGGGGCCCTCCGGGAGCAGGAGTGCTTACAGGGAGAGCGAGGCCCAGTGCTCGGGACAGGTGGCTGGCCCGGCCCCCACCCATGCAGCTGTTTCCCGCAGAGGTTCACGAGCAAGCAGGACGTGATCCGACACTACAACATGCACAAGAAACGCGACAACTCCCTCCAGCATGGCTTCATGCGCTTCAGCCCGCTGGACGACTGCAGCGTCTACTACCACGGCTGCCACCTCAACGGGAAGAGCACCCACTACCACTGCATGCAGGTGCCCCTCGCGCTCCCAGGGCAGGGCGGCCGGGGTGGGGGCGCGGTGGGGGACATGGCCTTGGGCGAGGGGCCTCCCTGTCTCCTGGCCCGGCACGGGGGGCGCAGGCGTGGGCAGTGGCTGGCGGGCCAGGGCGGGGCTGTCCCCATGGCCATACTTGGTGCGGGTGAAATTCAGGGAGCTGTTTATACAGACCGACATTTTTCAGGCTTTAACACCAAGAGCAGAATTGCAAATGGTTCCTGAGGAGGTTTTTGTTTAATTCTCTGTTTTAATGCCACGCAGAGTCTGGGCTTTTTCAAGGTGTCAGGTCCAGGGGGAGCGACTTGGGGTTGCAAATAGCAGCCGGCGTGCCTCCCCCGGTATTTGTCAGGGGGTTGTTATGGGCTCCGTGGAACAGCCGGGAGGAGAGGGGGGCTCGCTCTCCGGGCCCTGAGATGGTGCAGACACTGGCACAGCCCAGCCTTCAAGAGTGCTCAGATTCCACTGGTTTTTACTCAATATGGCAACGTTGCCTGCCTTGGCCCAGCTGGGGTGGGGTGGGGAAGGCCCCGTGCCAGCAACTGTCCACTAATCGAGTCCTGGGCTGAAGGTGACCGCTAGGCCCCCAGGTCCGGCCCTGGCCACTGCCGGGGGCTTTGGAAGTAGAGCCACAGAGTAGGACCCCGAACTCACCTCCTGTGGGACAGGACCACCGCACCTGTGCCAGCAGGTGTCCAGAGACCCGAAGGCAACTCAGCCCTCGGCAGAGGCCAGGCCAGGAGGGCCGGAGGGTGCGAGAGGCTTTCCACTGCCTGGATGGATGTTTGTGGGGCCGGTGCTGCCCCGAGGAGGGAGGTCAGCCTCTGACTGTGGCCCAGGGTTGCCCGGCCTCCGTCCCCCTGATGGCCAGTCTGCCCTGCAGGTGGGCTGTAACAAGGTGTACACGAGCACGTCAGATGTGATGACCCACGAGAACTTCCACAAGAAGAACACCCAGCTCATCAACGATGGCTTCCAGCGTTTCCGAGCCACCGAGGACTGTGGCACGGCCGACTGCCAGTTCTACGGGCAGAAGACCACGCATTTCCACTGCAGGTGAGCAGGGCTGGCCAGGCCGCGGGGAGGGACGGGGACCAGCCATGGGGATGGGGACAGGCCGCGGGGAGGGACGGGGACGGGCCATGGGGATGGGGATGGGGATGGGCCCGCGGGGAGGGACGGGGACGGGCCATGGGGCCAACAGCTCAGGGGGCGTGGGCGGGGAGCCGCCCAGAAGCTCCTCCGGGTGCCCGCCTGGGCCCTGCCACAGGCTCCCCGTGTCCTGTCCAGGCGCCCCGGATGCACGTTCACCTTCAAGAACAAGTGTGACATCGAGAAGCACAAGAGCTACCACATCAAGGATGACGCGTACGCCAAGGACGGCTTCAAGAAGTTCTACAAGTACGAGGAGTGCAGGTACGAGGGCTGCGTGTACAGCAAGGCCACCAACCATTTCCACTGCATCCGCGCCGGCTGCGGTTTCACCTTCACCTCCACCAGCCAGATGACCTCCCACAAGCGCAAGCACGAGCGCAGGCACGTCCGCTCCTCGGGCGTGCTGGGGCTGCCGTCCTCGCTGCTGGGCTCCAAGGACACGGAGCACGAGGAGTCGAGCAACGACGACCTGGTCGACTTCTCGGCCTTGAGCAGCAAGAACTCCAGCCTGAGCGCCTCCCCGACCAGCCAGCAGTCCTCCGCCTCCCTGGCCGCCGCCGCCACCGCCACCGAGGCCGTGCCCAGCGCCTCCAAGCCTCCCAACAGCAAGATCCCTGGGCTGCTGTCCCAGGGCCTGCCTGCGTCCATCCCGCTGGCGCTGGCTCTCTCCAACACAGGCCTGCCCACCGCCGCCCCCTACTTCCCCATCCTGCCGGGTCGGAGCAGCACCTCCCTGCCTGTGGGCACCCCCGGCCTCCTGGGCGCCATGTCGTCGGGGGCGGCTGCCTCCGCGGCCGCTGACACCCCCACTCTGGCCGCCTCGGGAGCCGGCGACTCAGCCCCAGCGGCTGCCACCTCCGTCCCGGTGCCACCCGGCTCCATCATGGAGAGGATCTCTGCGAGCAAGGGCCTCATCTCGCCCATGATGGCCAGGCTGGCCGCGGCCGCCCTCAAGCCCTCTGCCACCTTTGACCCAGGTGAGCAGGCTGGGCTCTGCCCAGGAAGCACGCGGCTCACAGACCCCCGGAGCCCACAGCCTGGGTGTGCAGAATGGAGCGGGAGAGGGGTGGGGGTTGGCGAGGCCCGTGTTCTCCTGCGCCCGCGGCCTCTGCCTGCCCAGGCCCCCATCTTTGCCTGGTCTCTGCCTCCTACTGTTAATTTGCTTTTCGGGGCCTCTCGCTCTGGCCTGTGCACCCCACCCCGGGCAGCTCTGTTCCTTCATCTGTGAAGAGGAGGCGGTTAAGCCGGGCCTCGGCCTCGTGGGGAGCTTTTGCATCCTGGGGAACTGTTCCTCACCCGCTGCCCTGACACCCACCCCACCTCGTCCCAGGGCCAGCCCCCGAGGAGAGCAGTCCCAGAGCCCCCACGTTTCCCTGGGGCCCCCTCTCTGTCTCCTGGCGGGGGCTCTCAAGGGATGCTTGAGATTCACACCCATCCAGCCCCACGAGGCCGGGGACATCCTTCTGGCCTCTTCCTGTCAGTCAGCGAGGTCTGATAGAACTTTCTGCGACCACGGAAACGTTCCATCCTGTGCTGTCCACCACGGCAGGCAGTAGTCACAGGGGGCTGCCAGGTGCTTGAAGTTGGCCGTGAGACCAGGGAACTGGATTTCAACTGGAATTGCTTTAACGTAGTCACGCCTGGCCCTCAGCTGCCACGTGGGACAGCACGGCCGCAGCCTCGTGGTAGCCCTGCTGCCCTCCCTCTGGCTCACCAAGCGCCGCGGTTCTCCTTTCTCACGTTTTCTACTTTTTAAATAAGTCTTCTGTGTTTCTGAAACTCTCCGGCTTTTCTGTTCACCTGGCTCCTCCCCTCCCTCCCCCGTCGTGCTTAGCCGTCCAGCAGCCCTGTGCTCGGGAGGGCCTCCCAGGCAGCTGCGGGTGCGAGGGACCCAGCCGGGAGGCACAGTCCTGCCTGGAGGAGCTGAAGGAACAGTGGGGGCGGCCGGCTCGGGCCCCACAGTAGGAGGTGGCCAAGCCCAGACTCGCACCTCAGTGGCCTGGCTCCTGAGCCCAAGAGCCCTGCTCCCCTGTGAGACCTAAGGTCCTTGCGGCCCAGCCCAGGGACCTGCCCAGACCTCCCGGAGGGCCTGCCAGTGCTTGGCCAGGGGGCCCAGCCATTTCCCAGGGGGTGGGGGAGCTACCGGCAGGTGGACTCAGACTCTGAAAACTGTGCTGTCCCAGTGGGACGCTCCTGCCAGCAGGAAGTGGAGCGGCCCACCTTCCATCCCAGGTGCGGGAGGGACAGCAGGTCTGCCCGGGGCCGGGCCCCCCTGGACAGCTGCCGGCTGGCTGGGGTGGGCCCCCTTCAGGGCCACGCTGGGCTCTGTGGCCACACGGGCAAATTCGTCCTTTTCATTAGAAAAGTCTCCTTCCCCCAAAAGAAAGGTCAAGGGGAGGGGGCCCACTTGCCTTTATTTTTTAATAAAACGCCACTTGCTGCCTGTGATGCGGCCGTGTCAGCTGCAGCAGAGCCTCGGGGCACGGTACTAGTTCAGCCCCTTGGGGACAGCAGGGCAAGCTCGGTGGACACGCTCCCCGTCAGCAGCCTCCTCCGCCCCACTCTGCTCCGCCTCCCAGTCCTCTGCCCACCCGGCTGCAGCCTTCCCCCAGCGGCCGCACCCCACCAGCCCCGAGCAGCCCGCCCGGCTTGAGTGGGCCTCACGTCCCTGCCCTGGGCAGCTTGACGGCGAGGTCACATAGTTTGAACCGCTCTGATTGGCCATCAGCTTCCATAGCCCTGACACAGCGGATGCCCCTCCTAGGCATGCTCAGTGGAAGGCAGGGCCGTCGCCCCGGCAACAGGGGTCCGGGGACCCGCGGGGGGCGGGGGCGCAGCTCCCAGTCTGGATCTGCCACTTCCCCTCAGCATTAACAGAGTCTTTAATAAAAGCCTAAGCGGCAGCCCCACAAATTGACTGTGACAGTCGGTGGAGAAAATGAAGGGCCCCCACCCCCGTGCCAGCCCCCTCCCCAGCCTCCCGCCCCGCTCCTCCAGGAGGCCCTGAGCCAGGACAACTTTGACATAATTTTGCAATAATTATCACTTGAAGAATTGCCACACAGGGGTAAGCGTCACAAGCGATCATGTCAGTGGGGAGAACCGCTGACCAGCAGCCGGGGCTCCCCCAGGGGCTCCTGCCCACCCAGCCCCCCGCGCTCTGTGCCCTGGGGGCCGCGGGGTCCAGTGTGTGCCCCCCACCGAGGCCCGAGGCCCCTCTAAGGCCGTCTTCCCTCCCCTCCCCTGTAGGAAACGGGCAGCAGGCCACCCCTGCCAGGTTCCCCCCGGCCCCAGTGAAGCAGGAGCCCGGTGAGAACGCTGGCGCCCCGGTTCCCCACGAGGTCTCCCAGGACCGCAGTTTAGACCTGACGGTGAAGGAGCCCAGGTGAGGCGAGGCTGGGGCCTCCCAGCCCTGTGCCACGGCAGGAGGCTCTGGGACCAGCTCCCTCAGAGTCAGAGTTGGACCCCACCGAGCAGGGGGCCACCCTCCTGCCTGGGTGGATGCAGCAGGCGCGGCGGGGCCCTGGGCGTGGGCTGGGACGGGTGGGAATCTGGGCTCCGTCCCACGTACATCTGAGCTAAAGCCCCTTGGTTTGTGTTCCAGTAATGAATCAAATGGCCACGCAGTCCCGGCAAATTCATCTCTTTTATCCTCGCTTATGAATAAGGTAAGAACCATCCATCACACGCCTCCCGTTCCCCCACCCAGAGAAATTAAAGCTGTGCTGGGGGGTGGGGGGGATGTGTTTGTTTTTTAATGTTTTGCCTCTAATAAGATGAGTTTGTACCATTTAAATTTTGAGGCCATTTTTCATCGGATATAATTTCAGAGCCACTGCTTACAAATTAATTTAATGAACTGGCTGAAGAAATATATTCCAGCCTCTGACACCCTTTTTTTCCCTTCAGATGGAGGGCTCCAAAAGCTTTTCCGAGCCCTCTAACTTCTTCTGCTCTCAGTTATTAATTTTATTTATTTATTTTATATATTTTTTTGTTTGTTTAAAAAGGGGGTGGGGGAGGGGCCCTAAAGTGGGAGCAAAGCATCAATTTCCACTTTTCGGGTTGAGTAATGGTCTCGGACGCCTTCCACAGAGGTCGCTCCGGAATATTTATTTTAAATAATGCAGGGTCTTTGTAAATTATACATCATCTCAAATATATTTTCCCCCTTCACATGATAAATTTGACTACAGCAAGATTAATTTGGTTACCGCACACGAGTGACTGCCAAGGCAGCCGGGCCTGGGCCGGACCTCACGGGTGGGGGGTCCCGGCTGGACCCTTGGCAGCGAGGGAGCCTCCAATGCGCTTTGCCCTCTGCGGCGGGCCCGTGCCCTCCCCTTCCCGCCCTCCCTCCTTGCTCTCTTGCTCTCCTTTTTCCTTCTCGGGTCACCGCCCCCCCCATTCCTTCCTGTTGGCCGGGGGGGGGGGGGGGGGGCACGTGCCATGTGGGTCGAGCCTTGACACGGGTTCACCCTCCCCACTCCCCGTCGTCGAGGCCCAGCAGCCCTGAGCCACCCTCATCTCCCCCAAGAGCCTCCTGCCCTCCCTCTCCGCTCCTCCTTTGTGTGCCTTCTCTTGTTCTCAAGGAATTCTTAGGGGTTCCCCCTACCTCCTCCTCCTGCACTTCTTTTGAAAACCTGGCAGGAAAATAAGCAGGGAGCCACGAAGTCTGGGAAAAGCTAGGCTGGAGTGTGTGCCCAGAGTCCCAGCCTTTGCTCTAGTGATGGATCTTAGCACCACGGGGTCTGTGTGGAGGAGCCCTGGCATCTCCACGGGGCCAGGGTAGCGCCGCGCCCCGTGGCAGTGTCCACCCAGAGTGGGCTCGGCTGTGGCCGAAGCTGCATGGGGCCAGGCCTCCTCTCTCCTCGGCTGCGCTCATCCTCTGCGAGAGCCGTGGCGGCGCCCACAGTGGCACATGTGTGTCTTGAGGTCCCCAGCCTGCAGCACGGCCCCTGTCCCCGTTGCAGATGTCTCAGGGCAACCCCAACCTCGGCAGCCTGCTGAACATCAAGACAGAGGCGGAGGCCAGCGCCGCCATGGAGTCCTCGCCCTTCCTGGGCAAGGCTGTGAAGGCGCTGGTTCAGGAGAAGCTGTCCGAGCCCTGGAAGGTGTACCTCCGAAGGTGAGGGGCTTCCTGGCAGAGCAAAGGAGCAGGGAGGGTCGTGGTGGCCGGTGCCCCAGGGTCTCCTCTGACCACGGTTCCTCTGCCAGGTTTGGCACCAAGGACTTCTGTGACGCCCAGTGTGACTTCCTCCACAAGGCCCACTTCCACTGCGTGGTGGAGGAGTGCGGCGCACTTTTCAGCACCCTGGACGGAGCCATCAAGCATGCCAAGTGAGTGGGGGTCCTGGGCCCTGCACCCCACCTCCGGGCGAGGCTGGGCGAGGCTGGGGGCTGCTCGGGCCTCCAGCTGCTTTCCAAGCAGGACCGTGTGCAGCTCCCAGCAGACCTCAGAGGCTGAGCTGGCCACTTAGAAGGTACCGCCTGAGAGAAGGCGGGCTTGCCCCATCCCTCCACCTGCTCAGCTCCTAGCAGGGTCCTCGGAGCCCGTCCAGGCCCCACTTAGAGCCCCGGAGCAGAGTCTCCTGCTGCCCCCTGCTCCCCACACCCCACGCCCCTGCGGCCCGGCAGGCAGCCCTACCTGATGCTCCCTGAGAGTTAGCTGCACAGACCCCTGCTCTGACCCAGGCAGGGACCCTAGGAGCAGGCCTTTCCAAGCCCAGCATCGTGGATTTGTAGATCCTCTTTGGCCTAAAAATAATGAAATTAATTTGTAAACCCATTGAGCTGAAAAGCACAGACCAGCTGCCTGCTGTAATGGAACGCAGGACGCGCAGACATTTAAAACAGACTTTCTCTGCTGCTGGGCCCCAGCTCAGGCTCCACTTGCTGCAGGAGAGCCAACCTTGGAGGCTGAGACCCACCTTTAACTCTCGAGCAGATTCTGGAAGCACAGACCTGGTGCCCCAGGGCCTGTTGTCAGGGGCCGACACAGCGCGAGGGTCACAGGGGAAGGTGTAGTGAGGGCGTGCCGGGAGCCCAGGTGCAGGACCAGAGGGCCGGGCCGGGAGCCCAGGTGCAGGACCAGAGGACGCAGCCGTTGGCTGCCAGTCCTTCCTTCCTGGTAGGACCCCGCCCCAAGCTGGGGGCTGGGGAGGGCACCACGGCTCCTCATGTGGATGGGGCCGGCCCCAGGGAAGGGCTCCCTGCTCCGGGCTCTCATCACTTCCCACCCGAGACGCTGGCGCCTCTGCCTGTTGCAGCTTCCACTTGCGGACGGAGGGAGGAGCTGTGAAGGGAACCGCAGAGGCTGCCTTCCCTGCCACCGCGGCCGAGACCAAACCTGCCTTGGCCCCCTCGTCCCCGTCGGCACCTCCCGTCACCACAGCCACAGTTTCCGCTCTGGAGGGTCCCACTCCCAGCCCGGCCGCCGTGCCCTCCACCCCCACGCTGCTCGCCTGGAAGCAGCTGGCTTCCACCATACCCCAGATGCCTCAGATTCCAGCGCCAGTGCCTCACCTGCCCACTTCGCCCTTGGCAACGACTTCTCTAGAAAACGCCAAGCCCCAGGTCAAACCCGGATTCCTCCAGTTCCAGGAGAAGTGAGTCCCTCGATGAGCCGGGAGTCCCGTGTCCCCCGCGTGTCTCGGGAGTAGGTGCTAGCAAGGGCAGCCGCAGAGGCCACTGCCGCTCCCTCTGCAGGTAGCTCTGGCCGTCCCCAGCCTCTCTGGGACACCGTCGTCGGGCCGGGTCTTTCTAGCCAAAGACACTGCTGCTCTGACCTCCCTGCCTGTTCCCAGAGCGGGCAGCTGGCAAGGGGTGGGGGGAGGTGACACTGTGAGGACCGGCTCAGGTGGGCTGGGAGGGGCGGTCGTCGCCTGGCAAGGAGGGCGGCATCGGCTCTGCGCCTCCCTGTCGGTGTCTGTGGCTCGCTCCCGCGGCCCAGCCTCTGCAGAGCAAGCTAAGTCCTGGGTGGGGGGGCGAGGGGGCTAGGCCCCCTCCAGGCCCATGCCCACCTGCAAGGTGGTCTGAGCTCTCAGGGGTGGAAGGGCCCTTCCTCATTGGATGGTGGTGGCGCCTTGTGGCGAGAACGGTGACTCTGTATCGTGATATGTGCGGCTTCCTGTTCTCAATAAAAGTAATAAATTGGATGTGAACACACACGGCCTGAGTGGCAGCTGTCCTCCCTCTCTGAGCACCTGGGGCTGGGCCTGTGGCATGGAAGGGGACCTGCACTCCTCTCCGTCCCCCCGGAGCTCCCCTTCCTCCGTCCCGCCCCCCACGGCGGTAAGCCCTCCCAGTTTCCCCAGCTTGGAGGATTCCCAACCCGGGGCCACCGAGGGGGCAGCCAGCCAGGGCAGGAGACCGGGGCAGGGCACCCCCGCACCTATGTGCAGCGCAGGAGGCAGGCCGTGGGGCAGGGCGGCTGCGGCCAGGGCAGGCCGGCACGGGGGCTCCGCCCAGCACCCCGCCGCCCCTCCAGGCTCCACCACTCAGCTGGCCTGTGAGGTCCTCTGAGTGGGCAGGAGCCCCACGCCCCGGGCCAACCCTGGGGGCCCCCCCCCCCGGCAGCCATGCGCCTCAGCAGGCCCCGCACCAGGTGCACATTCCCACTGGAGCTTCCTGGTAGGGCTGCCCACCCATCTGCACCCTGTCAGTCAGCCACACCCAGGGCAGTGCCCGTGCCAGGCCGCCAGGCCCTCACTGGCCCCCCGCCAGGGCTGGCCGCGCCATCTCGCACTTTCACATCCAAGAGGTTACTGGAGCCGTCCTTATCTATAATCCTGAGGTGTGGCCATGGAAACTACGTGTCCCAGCATGCAATGCTCTGGGCAGCCTGCACACTGCAATCCTTCCTGCACCTCCGAGCTCCAAAAAGAAGGCAGGACTGCATGCTGGGATCTGTAGTCTCCTCTGGCTGGAGCCACTCGTTGAGCAGGAGGGCAGCCCAGGGGCCATTCGTCCGGGCCGCACCACAGCACGAGGACTGTCAGGGTGTCAGGGTGTCGGTGGGGAGGCCCCGGGATGCCACTGACCTTCTGGGCTGTGGTTTCATTCCAGCGATCCCTGCCTCGCGACGGACTGCAAGTATGCCAACAAGTTCCACTTCCACTGTCTCTTCGGGAACTGCAAGTACGTCTGCAAAACCTCGGGCAAGGCGGAGTCGCACTGCCTGGACCACATCAACCCCAACAACAACCTGGTCAACGTGCGGGACCAGTTCGCGTACTACTCGCTTCAGTGTCTCTGTCCCAACCAGGTCAGTGCGGGGGCAGGGGGCGGGGGGGCCCGGGCCCAGCTCCCCCTGGCAGGGATTCTGTTCCTTACGCCCGTTTGGAATGGTTCTCCTCCCGTCCCTGGAGGCTGCCAGGAGCGTCCAGGTTGGTGGTCCGTCAGGAAGGTCCCGTGTTGTCATCCCTGCCCACGGTGGGGACTCATCCGGCAGCCACGGTGCACTTGGCATCGTCCCGCCCGTCCTGGAACTATGCTCCCTTCCCCCAGACGCCTACAATTTTAAAATTCTAGGCCCATCGGACAGCTAGAGATTGAACTGTCCGTGCCCCAGACAGGAAGGGCGGATCAAGGTCACACACAGGCAGGGCCTAGTCCTGGAGGGGGCTGGTGGGCAGAGCACCTCGAGAAGGAGCCCGGTCCCAGGGCTGGCGGCCAGAGGACAGTGCTAGCATTGATGAGCGATGTCTGCCCCGGGTGTGGGATTGGCCGGCAGGACCGCCAGGTAGGATGTTTCAGTCGAGTGGCCAGAGGGACACACTGCTTTCTGACCTGAGATTCTGAGCAGGGAAGGGCACATGCACCGGGGCCTGCCACGGCCCGGTGGGAGCTCCTGACCCTCCCACCCTCCCTGCAGCATTGCGAGTTCCGGATGCGCGGCCACTACCACTGCCTGCGGACCGGCTGCTACTTCGTGACCAACATCACCACCAAGCTGCCGTGGCACATAAAGAAGCACGAGAAAGCCGAGCGGCGCGCAGCCAACGGATTCAAGTACTTCACCAAGCGCGAGGAGTGTGGCAGGCTAGGTACTGGCGGCCGGGGTTGGGGGCAGCGGCAGGCGGCAGGGGTCAGCTCTGGCCCCCGGGGCCCTGGTGGCCTCGGCCCCCTCTCCTGGTCCTCACCTCTCAGCCCTGCCCAATGGCAGACCAGACACCGAGGGCGACTGGGGGCAACGGCCCCCTCCCTGCCCCCCGGGAACTGCCACGTGGCAGAGGCAGGCCCTGACCCTGTGATCTGCTTCCCCCTCAAGAGGCCACGCAGGTGACATAGGAGCTCTTGAAGTTGCCCGCCCTGGGCTCTCTTTCCAGGGCTTTCCCTCTGAGGGCTTTGTGCAGAACGGACTCTGTTTCGTCAGCTCATTGGTTCGTTCAGCAGGTGCTTAGGGAGGAACAGCTGCATGCGGAGCAGCTGTGGCAGGAGGTGGCAGGGGTGGTGGCAGTAAGGGTTTTCAGGGTCTGCTCTGGCCGGCACCATGCTTGGTGGCTTGTCTGCTGGACAAGCAGGTACATGGTGGGTCAGCCCAGAGCATGTGACCTGTGACCCAGGGCGACCCAGGAGGAGGCGGCCCCGGGGCCGGGAAGGCCACACATGATGGCCCTGAGCTTTGGCAGCAGATGCTGGGGAGCTGAGTCGGGGAGACCTGGGCCCTCCGCAGGGAAGCTGTCCGGAGGGCCCCCCCCCCGCCGACCGAGGCCCCCTGTCGCTCCCTGCCCCAGCTGCCCTCGGGATGCCCATGGGGGGCGGGTCTGCAGGTGGAGGGCCTCAGGATGGAGCCCCATGTTCAGGGCCTGCGGGTGTGGGGCGGGAATCGGTCAGGGAGACACGAGGGGCCAGGAGGCGGCTGGGGTGCTGGGCGGGCCTGCCGGGCCTCAGGTGCTGGCGCCGGGTGTGGGGGGCAGAGGTGGGGCCGCTGCTGCTGCGGACGGCCCCTCCATAGGGAACGGGTGAGCACTCAAAGCCCCTGCCAGGAAGGGCAGGAAGCAAACCTTCCTTTCAAGTATTAATTCAGAAAGAATTCAGAGGGTTGGTAGCCGTAGCAACAGGTGTCAACATTCGGTGGCCCGTGCTGTCCTCCAGCTCCTCTGACGGGCGTCGGGGTGCTCTGGAGCCATCCGTATTTACTCAACTTTGGGGGTTGTCGGTGATAGTTGGGGCCAAACAAAGCTGGGGATGATACGAGACACCTGGCCAGCCCCGGTGCCATGGCTACGGGCAGGCCTTCACCTGCCCCACGCTGACACTGTTTCAGCCCTGCCTGCTGTTTGTTCTTGGCCCAGAGGGAGGCGGAGGTGGGTGGGGGCAGGGCAGGGCAGAGGCTCCCCGGTGGCAGGCAGGCCCCCGGGCTCCCACGGGGGACATGGAGACACGTCGTGCTTGCCGGAAGGGGGCTGACCTGGGGACGGGTCATCAGGGCCTCTCACCCCAGGCCCGGGCCCTCTGAGGGCAGGGGAGGGGGCCCGGCCTGCCACTGTCACGGGCTCCACGCCAGGCCGCAGGGTGGGACCAGGCCTGGGGGCGCGGGGGCTGACGGCTGTGGGTGCGTCCGCAGGCTGCAAGTACAACCAGGTCAACAGCCACTTCCACTGCATCCGTGAGGGCTGCCAGTTCTCCTTCCTCCTCAAGCACCAAATGACCTCCCACGCCCGGAAGCACATGCGGAGGATGCTGGGGAAGAACTTCGACCGCGTGCCCGCCTCCCAGGTAAGGGCGGCGCCCCAGGCCGTGCCCCCTCTGCCCGAGTCGCCGACGTGGCCCGCGTCCCTCTCCTGCTTCCGGCGGGTGGGCGGCCCCCTCCTGAGTGCCCCCCCACCACCTTTCAGGGCCCCCCGAGCCTGATGGACACAGAGACCGATGAGTACATGGACTACACGGGCTGCAGCCCGGGCGCCATGTCTTCCGAGTCGTCCACCATGGACCGAAGCTGCTCCAGCACCCCCGTGGGCAACGAGAGCACCGCGGCAGGTGAGCGGCGGCCGGGCCCGAGCAGCGGGCCAGGAAGAGACGGCCGGGCCAGCCAGGTGGCCCGAGCGGGGACAGGGCCCGCCGGTCGGTGGGACACGGGTCGTTGAGGCCACCGCCCACTGGCACCCAGCCGTCGGCTTCAGTTCCCAGGCGAGGACCCAGGCTTGTCCTCCGAGCGCCTGGACCAGCAGCACAGGCCCCGGCGGAGGGGCAGGTAGGCCGGGGACCGCCAGCGCCTGGCCCGGCCCCACCCCTGCGGCGCCGCCTGAGCCCTGCGAGAGCCCCCGCACAGCCTCCCCGGCCTCTCCTCCTCTGCCGTCTCCTTCCCGTCTCTCCTGGCGCCTCTCTGCTCCTCATCTGTCCACGTGTTTTCATACCATACTTGCTTCTGCCATCGGGTTTCTCATTTTGGTTCTTTTTTGTTTGTTTTTGTTTGTTTTGGTTTTCTTTTTTTTTTTTTTTTTTCTGCTTTTCTCCACCCTCTCCAGGCTGCCCGGCTCCTCCTCCTCCTCCTCTTCCTCCTCCTGCTGCCGCTGGCGACGAGGCTGCCCGCGTGGCTCCGCAGCCCGCACTGACCCCGTCCTTCTCAGCGGCCGTGCTGCGGGCGCCCCTCCCCTCCCTCCCATGCCTCTTTTCTCCGCCCTGTCTCTCATACTCTCTGCTCAGTGCCACTCTCGGAGCCACCCGGGGCCTGGGCCACCCTGTCAGCAGCCCACCCCGCTTCCCGCCCGCCACTGCCACTCCAACTCCAGTAAAAAGTGACGTCCCCGTAGTTCAGGATGCTGCAGGTAACTCGCACGTGCCTTCTCGCCAGCCTTTGTCACCCCAGCTGACCCTTGAGGCTGTGATCGGGGACCTGGCCTTTTTCCTGTGGCCTTGCTGGGCCGAGGACAGGGCCACCTGGTCCCCTGCAGACAGCTCCTCTACACTCCCGCTCGGCGCTGGGTCCGGGCGGGCTCCTGCCACCAGCCAGAACCCACAGCCCCGGAGCCGGGCAGGAGGACAGAGGGAGGCTCTGTGGCCCAGGCCCCGGCCGTGCTCAGTGATGACTCCTGTCCCCCCTCCCCCCTGCAGATCTGATGATCTGCAGGGGTGGGACCTGCCCTCCCCGCCCTCTGGTGCACCCATCACCCGCCTCTGCACCTTCCTTTGCTCATTTGTGCCTCCCATTCTGCCTGACTGCTGGGCCAGCGCGGCACCAGGTCTCGGGCTGTGGCCAAGGGCAGGGCAGGGGCCCCGTGTAGGGGGTGCAGCCCTTGGAAAGCCATCGCAGGCATAACCAGACGACCCTGTGACCTTGGCCCCAAAGCAGCCACTCCTCACTCACCTGACCTCCAGGCCCCAGGCCTGTGTGCTGTGCTGGGCACCCCCACCCTGCGACAGAGCTTGGTGTCCCCTGTTAAGGGTGGGTGGCTGGGTAGGGCCCCTAGGCGGATGATGCCGCCCAGCGGGGCCCCGGAGGCTCGCGGCTCTGTAGGCAGGTTGGGGCGGGCTGCACGGGTCAGCCCAGGGGGAAGCCTGGAGGAAGCCCACCTTGGCCTTGCGCAGGGCCGGGCCCCAAGCTTTCTCTCTGGTTTCTAGGGTGTGGAGCAGGGAGTGCGAGGACCGCGGCCTTCCCCCCGGGGGCCTGTGCCGCGCCAGGGGGCTGCTTGCCCCTCACCCTGCAGCTGTAGGGCCCATGGTGCGTCCCAGAAATGGGGTACAGGACTAACCACGCTGACGGGCACAGGCAGGCAGCCCTGCCACTGGGGTGTCCTAAGTCTAGGGGAGCCGTTGGGTCCAGCAGGGTGGGCACAGGTGGGCGCCCCTCTGTTGGCCGAGCCCTGGCCACTCAGCAGGGCCGGTGTCTCCCAGCAAACGGGGGGGCCCACGACCCCAACAAGACCAGAACGAGCCTTCTGGCAAGAAGCGGGCAGGTGTCCCTCCCGCGGGGAGTTACAGTCCCCCGGCCCCCCGGCCGACAGGTGGGCGCCGCGGAGGAGGGGCCCTCATCAGAGGCGGTGCAGGCCCGGGCCGGGGTAGCCGCGCTGCGCCGCCCACATTCCCCCTTCGGCTTCAGCCCGCGCCGGCGTCCCCACTTCCCGCCCGAACTGGCCAGTGCGGCCCCGCGGCCCCGCGGCCGGGCGCCACCCGCCGTGGAGCCTGTGCGGCCGCCCCGCAGGCGGGGGTGACCGGGGGCCGCCCGGGGCTCCCGGCTGGGGGGGGGGGAGCGGCTGCGGGGCCCCGGGAGCCGGGGGGGGGTGGGGGGGGGCAGGCGGTCGGCGCCCTCGGGTCAGCGCTCCGGGCGCCGCCGGGTTGCTGACCGCGCCCCGCCCCGCCCCGCCCCGCCCCGCAGGGAACACCATCTCCATGCCCGCGGCGTCCGGGGCCAAGAAGCGCTTCTGGATCATCGAGGACATGTCGCCCTTCGGCAAGCGGCGCAAGACGGCGGCGTCGCGCAAGATGCTGGACGAGGGCATGATGCTCGAGGGCTTCCGGCGCTTCGACCTGTACGAGGACTGCAAGGACGCCGCGTGCCAGTTCTCGCTCAAGGTCACGCACTACCACTGCACGCGCGAGAACTGCGGCTACAAGTTCTGCGGCCGCACGCACATGTACAAGCACGCGCAGCACCACGACCGCGTGGACAACCTGGTGCTGGACGACTTCAAGCGCTTCAAGGCGTCGCTGCGCTGCCACTTCGCCGACTGCCCGTTCTCGGGCGCGAGCACGCACTTCCACTGCCTGCGCTGCCGCTTCCGCTGCACGGACAGCACCAAGGTCACGGCGCACCGCAAGCACCACGGCAAGCAGGACGTGATCAGCGCGGCGGGCTTCCGCCAGTTCAGCTCGAGCGCCGACTGCGCCGTGGCCGACTGCAAGTACAAGCTCCGCTGCTCGCACTTCCACTGCACCTACCCCGGCTGCCGCCACACGGTGGTCGGGATGTCGCAGATGGACTCGCACAAGCGCAAGCACGACAAGCAGGAGCGCGGGGAGCCGCCCGCCGCCTCGCCCGGCCCCGCCGGCGCCCCGGACGCCGCCCCGCCGCTGGGCCCCGAGCCCGCGCTGCTCTTCCTGCCGCCCGCCGCCGCCGCCGCCGCCGCCGCCGCCGCCGCCGCCGCCGCCCCCGCGCCCGCCGGCCCGGGGCTGGGGCTGGGGCTGGGGCCGGGGCCGGGGCCGGGGCCGGGGCTGGGCGACCCCGGCGACCCCGGCCCGCCGACGGCCCCCGCGACGGCCCCCGCGACGGCCCCCGCGACGGCCCCGCCGCGCCCGCGCCCGGCCCCGCGGCCGGGGAGTCCTCGCAGGAGGACGACGAGGAGGAGCTGGAGCTGCCCGAGGAGGACGCGGACGACGACGAGGACGACGACGACGACGAGGACGACGACGAAGACGACGACGACGAAGACGACGACGACGACGAGGACCTGCGCACCGACTCGGAGGAGTCGCTGCCCGAGGCGGCGGGGCGGCGGGGGCGGCGGGGGCGGCGGGGCCGGGGGCGCGGAGCCCGGAGCTGGCGGCGCCCGCCGCGGCCTCGCCCTAGCCCTAGCCGGCGTCGGGGCGGGGGGCGCGGGGACCGGCGGGGACGGGCGGGGGCGCCCGGGGCCGCCGCGACTCCCGCTGTACGAGATGCGATTTGTGCGTCGGGCCAAGCCGGGCGCGCCCCCGCGGCCCCCGCCCCGCCGCCCCGCAGGTGCTTCCGGACCCCGAGTCCGTCTCAGGACAGAGGCGGGGCCCCCCCCTGGTGCTCCGGGCCCCCCGCCCCCCCCCCCCCCGCCCGCGAGGACCGGCTGCGAGCGCCCCTCCCCTCGGCTGCAGGCGGGGGTCTTCTTCTTCAGGGAAACAGAAGGTGCTCTTGTCGGGGTGTCCTCCCCCGGGGCGCGGGCCCCGGGCCCCACGACCGCGCCGGCGGGACTCATGCTCAGGACTGGGGGCCGCGGCCCCTGCGGCGGAGGGAGCCCAGCCAGCCCCCGGGGGTGGGCGTGGGGGTGGGGGTGGGGCGGGGCGCCGCGCGGGGACCCCCGGGCGCGGCCTCTGCGGCGGGGGCCTCGGGGCGAGGGCGCAGGGCCCGGCGGGGCCTCGGCCACCCACGCCGTGGAGCGGAAGGATACCACTCTTCGGGGCTTTAATATTCAAAATGGGGAAAAACGCGAGAAAGCTGTACAGTATTTTTCCTGTAAAGGTTATTATTCTACATAGAACAAAAAAAAAAAAAAAACACAAAAAAAGGCAGGCGGGCCCGGGAGCACAGGCCGCCGCGGCCCCGCCCCGGGTGGACGCCGAGTGCAATCGCTCACGTGGGATTTCGTTCCATTCGTTTTCGGGGCCTTACCCGAGTGACGCTGTCTCGACAGTAGCACTGACGGGAGCTGCGCGATTCCAACTTTTAACTTGAATTTTGTAGAAACAAGGAAAAAAGGACTATTGCTGTTGATACAAGTTTGTAGTTAATTTTGAGTTTTTCTCTATTGGTTATGCGTGTGGCTTTATAGGGCTTTTTTTTTTTTTCCAGTTTGTTATTTTAAATTACTTTTGTTTGGGATGCTTCTTTGCTGGTGCAACCCACCCAGACCAGGTCCCCGCGCCCCGCGCCCACAGGTCCGAGCGGGCTTGGGGAGGAAGGCCCACGCGGCAGGGGCGCCCGGGGCGGCTCGGGTCCTGGCCACCAGCCTGGCTCGGGGGACCCTGCAACTCGGCCTGTCACCCCGATCGCCGAGGGGGCCGAGGGGGCCTCACGTGACGGCAGGGGGCACTGGGTTTTTTTTTTCTTTTTTGTCCGTGTGTGTGCGTGTGCGCGCGTGTCCTCTTGGCCGCCCACAGCCCGGGAGCCAGGACCACCTGCGCTTGGAGGGGGTTGGGGGTCCCACTGAGCGCACCTGATGCAACAGGAGCAAATCCTTGTCCGAAACAGCCCCGCGCAGAGCCTCCCGAACTCTGTGGGCGCCGCGCTGCTGCTGAGCGCTCGCCCAGACTCTGCCCTCCACCGCCCCTGGGTGCGTGGAGGGAGTTTTGTAAAGGAAAAAAAAAAAAAAGAAAAAAACAAAACACAAAAACATTTTTCAATGTAGCAGACTTTAAAAAAAAAATTAAAAAAAAAAGAAAATCGAAGATGCCGACAGTGCGAAGTCTAGCCTTTTGTAACCTTCATATTGCACACTAGGACTATAAGCCATTGCTAGCTCATTTTGAATTTTAATGTGTAATTTTTGTTTTATTTTCTTTCTGTGGGGAAAATAATGCTTGATCCACCAATGCTCTTTTTAATGTTTTATAACTATGTATGTGTATATATATAAATATAAAATAATATGTATGCACATATGTGTGTGTATATATCTATATGTATATACATATATAGATATATAGAGATATATAGAGAGGTTCTGAGACGAAAACTGCAGAACGTGAAAACCGAACTGAACAGCGTGTGCTCTGATTACTTGAATCTGGTCTCCTCGGCACCTGGTTAACTGAATATTTTTCCACTTGAATTTAGCGCTATTAGAAATTTAATATATGTGTTTTATTTATTTGATTTTTTTTTTTGCATGACTGATGCAAGGTTTGACATTTTCACTCAATAAAAACTGGAAAAAAACCTATCAAGTTTTTTATTTTTAAAACGAGCCCCAGGTGGGCTGGCGGGGAGCCGGCGGTGTGGACGGCGCGTGTGCCAGGGCGGCACCGGGAGGGCCCGGCGGGCCGGTCTCGCCTGGGCTGGGGCCCGTCGGGGGGCGCAGGCCCTGCCCACCCGGGGGCGGCCGGAGGGCACCGCGCCTGGCGAGGCCGCTGGGCAGGCGCTGGGCAGGGTCCTTCCTCCTTCCTGCAGGGACCTGCCCGGGCGGGACGGCGCGACCCGGATCCCATCCGGATGCTGGCCCGGCTCCTGCCTGGAGCTCCCAGCGGCATCGCTGGGCCTCGGAGGGAGCGGAGGCGCGGGGTCCACCTTGAGGAAGTCGGGGTGCCGCACCCCGCAGCACGTTTCCAGCGCGGCCCCAGCACAGGAGGCCCTTCCTTTCCTTCCTTCTTCCTGGAACGCAGCCCACGGGCTATTTACATAAATATGTTAGTAACAGACGCGAAAATATATACTTTTTTCTGTCTTATTAAAATGTTCAAGTTGGAACTCGCCTATTGTTTGTGGATATCTCGATTCTGTTAAATAAAACAGTGACTAATTTATGGGATAAAACGCAAGTTCAACAAATTAAAACCATTATTGGAGCTTCGCAGGCCCTGGTGGGCCGAGCAGCCCTCCCAAGGGGCCTGAGGGGCGGCCCAGAGCCAAGCCTGGACCTGGCGGCGAGGGGGTGCTGAGCGCCCGGCTGCCTGCGGCTGCGGGGGGCCCCCCGGAGGCTGGGGCGGGCAGCGGCCCCTCAAGGGCTCCTGGGCCCCCCGGGTCTCCCCGGCCCAGAGGGCCCTCAGGGTCCGCCCGCGGGGGCGGGAGGGAGGCCCAGCCTAGCTGCGGGCAGGCAGGAGGCACCAGGGCCGGGGCGGGGGTCACTGGCTCTCGGGGTGACCCTCCCCACAGCCTGAGGGCGACCAGGCCCGTGACCGTCAGGATGCCTGTCAGATGCCGCAGCAGCTCACGGCCGGGGCCAGGCCCTGCCCGGGATGAGGACAGAGCGGAGCGGCCACCCCACCCCACCCAGCGGGAGCCGCCCCACAGACCCTGTCCCCATGCCCACGACCGAGGGGCGCAAGGTGGGCCCGGGCGGCACAGCCCCGCCCCCGGCTTGTTGGGCTCGGCGGGAAATGCAGGGAAACACGTCTGCGTTCCTGGATGTAATTAGCTGCGGCGGTGTGATGCTCCCACACCAAACTGGGGCAAATTCAAGAGTTTTGTAACCTCTTGGAAAGAGCCAGAACCAGCTGCACAGGCTCACGCTGAGCTCAGCGGCCTGCCTACCTCCCACAGACCTGGCCCGGCCCGGGTGCTCCCGGCAGCTGCGTCACCCACGGGAGCTGGGCCCCGTCCCCACCTGGACCCACAGGGACAGCAGGGTCCCCTCCCCGGGGCCACAGCCCCACAGGCAAGACGTCTTGGCCAGGGACCAGGGCAGGACGCTGGCGGGCCAAGTGTGGCCGCCCTGGGGCCCCACTCAGGCCTCGGGGAAGCAGGGGGGACAGCAGGGCCCCTCCGACGGGCTGCAGCCCTGGGGGCCTGTGGGGCCGACTGGACAGCAAGGCTCCTGGGGGCCCTGGCACTGTGGGAGGCGGACGGGACCTGGGTGGCCTGCCCCTCCCCGCTGCCACTGTGAGCCCCACAACCCCTGCCCCTCGGGGGACACGCGTGGCCTGTGGAGTCCAAAGCTTGCTCCCGACCGCTGACACCCCTCGGCCGTGGCCAGAGCCCTCCCCCCCCAGGTCACCCCGTGTCCAGCAGGCACCCCGGGGACGCCAACGCCCGGACTCGAGGCCTGGGCACGGAGCGCGGGTACCTTTCACTACAAAGATCCTTCCGGGACTCGTCAGGGAGCAGGGAAAGGCTCCGGGCGTCCTCCTTGAGGAACAGTAAAACCTCATCTCCTTCCCTGGAAGAGCGTGACCTCCAGGGAGCCCCAGAACCACCGAAGTCTGTTGGGATTCGGGTGAAAGCCACCCCAGAATGCTGGGGCGCGGCGGGGGAGCTGGGCGCTGCAGAGAGCGTCCCCCCCTAGTGTGGGCCTCGCACGGATGCAGTGGGGGACCTCTGTGCGGGGCAGGCCTGACCCCAGGTGAGCACGACCCCGAGGCTGCAGCCACACCCGCCGCCCGACCAGCACCTTCGCCTCTGCTGCTGGAGCCCCGACCCTCCTCCGGGGCCTGGGCACGAAGGATTAAGTAAACTTCTGGGGATCAGGTTGTCTCCTGCCTGCCCTTCCTCCTCCGGGGGCTGGGGGGGGGAGGGGAGGGGGAGGTGGGGGCCCAGACCCAGGGACGCTCCTCAGCGCTCCCGGCAGAAGGCGAGGGTGGGAGGGGAGCCGGGGGAGGCCACACCACCCAGCCCACTGGGCGCGAGCCCCCCGAGCCCCCCGCAGACACGATTCACTTCCAGGGAGACAGCAGGCCGCAGGGTCAGGCGGTGGGGGGGGCTTCTCATCTTTATTAAAATAAGGGGGGACCCTTGGCCTGCGCTCCAGCCCCTGCTGTGTCCCCACCTCCGCAGCCCCCAACCTGTGCTTGCACGACAGCAGGTCGCAGGGGCAGGCCCACCGAGGGGCGTCGGGCTGCGGGTGAGCACAGGGCCAGGGGGGCAGTGAGGACCCTCGGCCGCGGGGCCGCCCGACCTCCCGGTGCTGGGGCCGCTTCTTTTCTAAAAGACACTTTACAAAACTACACTGTCACTGGGTCTAAGAACCTTCCTCCTTCCAGGAAGGCCTGCGGGCGCTGCCTGCCGCTCACTTCTGCCCCTTTCCAAATATTTTTACCTTATTTGGATGAAATGCATTATTTTTCTAATGAAAGGCTTTTTTTTCAAAGGGCTGTTTTCCCTCCGTCCAGCAGCTGCCTTTATTAGGCAGCGCTCACGCCGTTTTGGGGAGGGGTTTTTTCCTCCCTGAAACCTCGCCAGGCCGCTGTCCTCCAGCGTGGACACGGGAGCCCGGGACCCACAGGGCAAAGGCCTCCAGGTCCGTCCCCGTGTGTGCGCCGCGGGCCGGGGGGCGGCAAGGCCCCGGGAGCCCTGTCCAGGAGTCCCCCACCCCCCCCCGCCCCCCGCCGGGCTCCCTGCCCTCTGCTCTCCCCATCTGGTGCCCCCTCTGCAAAGCTCGAGACCCTGTCAGAGGCGACAAGTGGCCCCCAGCCTTAGAGCTGATGGGGAGACCCCTCGGCACCATGGGGACCAGGGGCTCCCGGGCACTGACGGGGTTGTGGCGGGCCAGCGTGGGGACCTGGCCTCCGGCCTCTGCTCACTGGTCTGGGGTCCGCCCGCCTGGCTCCCCGACCCTGGGAGCCCTCGGCCGGGACAGGACGGGACGGGCTGGTCGCCCCCGCAGGCTGAGCAGCCGGGCTCCTGGGGGGGCAGCAACAGGGCAGAGGGGACTCGTGATGTGGGGTACACTCAGTCCGGGTGAGCGTGTGCTGGGAAAAGGGACGGCAGGGATGTGACAGGAGGTGCGAGCCCCGGAGGGGACACCGGAGAGCCAGGGGCCGGACCCCGAGTCACCGTCACCCGCACAGGGCCCTGGGCCACGGGGCCAGCCAGGAGTCCGCAGCAGCAGGTGGGGGGCTCCGAACCCCCGGAAGGGCCCAGGGGGCAGGAAACGTCCTCAAGGCAAAGCAGCCGCAGTGCCGAGCGTCTGCCCCGGGGCTCCGGGCGGGCGGGCGGCGGGCACGGCATCCACGGCCACGCTCCCTGCACCTGGCGCCTGCCAGGCACCTGCACGCGGCCCTCCCCACGGGGCTGCAGCCCAGGCTGGGCGCAGGGGCTCCTGGGCGCAGGGGCTCCCGGGGGGAGGGTCGCGTGCGTTTTCTGGGCACAGCGGAGCCGCCGTGAAGGTTCCAGAGGCGGGGAGGGCGAGGAGCCGGGGAGGCAGACGAGCGGGACACACGCTCTCCCGGGAACACACGCGTCCATTTAAGGAAGGGGAGCTGGTCACGCTCACCCCAGGCCCAGATGCTGCGGCGAGGTCCCTTCCCCACCGGCACCAGGAGGTCGCCCCGCGGCACAGGCACCGGGAGCAGCTCAGGACCTCGGCCTGGGCAGGGCTCACCCCCTCCGGGCCCAGGGCGCCCGCGCACACACGGAGCGGAGGCAGCAGGTAAATAGTGACAACTCGTATTTATTACAATTATGTACAGCAGTAGCGTCTAGCGGGGCACGTTCCCGGGCGGGCAGGCGGGGAGGCCCGACGCCGGCTCGGGGAGGCGAGGACCAGTGTCGCCGCAGGGGCAGCGGAGTCGCGAGGCGGAAGCGAGGCCAGCAGACGGGCGGGGGCGGCCCGGCGGCAAGGGCACGGAGTGAGGCTTCTGGAAGCGCCGATCCCGGCCCCTGGGAGGTGGGCAGCAGGGGTGGCAGCAGCCCCCGAGGGTCAGGAGCCAGGTACTTAGACTACCTCTTGTCATGCAGGTGCGAGGTCGAGGTCGGCAGGTGCTCGGCGACCAGGCCCCCGCCCCGAGCCCCGCAGGCGAGGGGGCCGCCCAGGGCCCGCCGGGAGCCCCGGGTGCTCAGTCCCGCTCGTGCTCGTTGCTGGCGCCCTCGGGCCGGCGCAGCTTCTCCACCTGCTCGTTGATCTGCCCGTCCCCGCCCCGGCGGTCCTCCCGCTGCACCCCGAGGCAGTCCTCCTCGTCCACGTGGCTCACGTCCTCGTCCTCCTCGTCCTCCTCGTCCTCCCTCTTCTCCTCCTCGCCCTGCACTTCCATCCTCACCTGGCCCTTCACGTCCAGCACCCCCTGGCCCTCCTCCTGGGGGCCCAGCAGGTGGTAGGCGGCCGTGGAGCCCTCGGGGCTGTGGCCCTCCTTCACGGGCGAGGACGACGTGGACTCATTGCTGACGGGCGAGATGTCGCTGCTGCTGTGGTGGTTGGCGGCAGCGGGGCTGGAGGGTGACGGGGACTTGACGGGGATCTGCCAGGACGGGATCTTCGGGGCCGAGGGGGACGGTGGGAACTGCCTCCTGACACGGGGGGACAAGGAACAGGGTTGGCGGTGCCCAGACCTGGGTCCTCCCTTCCAGAGCCCCCCCACCCCGGGCTGCCACGCAGGGGACACGGTGACACCCAGGTCCCCCAGGCCCCTCCCTTCCCCTCCAGAGACCAGGCCCTGGGGCGGCTGCGCAGAGCCCCCCGCCCCCCGCAGGGCGCCTCCTCGGGGCCAGGCCTGCCTCCCCTGGGCCCCGGCCCGTGGGCAGCCCCCCCGGTCCCTCGCGCCTGGGAGCGGGGTTGGGGAGAGGGTGGGCGCCTGCAGGGAGCGGAGCCCGGGGCCCCATCTTCCTGGTCTGTGGCCTGGGTGGGCGCGGGAAGGCCTGGCCTCGGGCTGTGGGGTCAGTGGCCTCGTGACCAGCAGGGTGACAATGCCCCACTTAGCTAAAAACCTCCCCGTGCGACACTTGGCAGGGAGCTCGGGTCTCCGCTCCTGCTTCCTGCCCCAGGGTGGCCGGGACCGAAGCCGATTCCATGGGGACCAGGGGGTCAGGTCCGCTTGGCAGGGCTTGGGGGCGCGCGGCGAGCGGCCTGGGCCCAGCTCCCCGCTCCCTGGCTGCCCCCCGGCCCGCGCTGCCCCCTCCTACCGATTTAAGAGCAGCCCCTTCAAGGAGTTGATCTCTGACTTGAGCTCATTGATATTCTGCGACTCCAGGATCCAGTTGGTAGACGTCGTGGCCTGAGGTCGAAACACGGGAGACGAGGGTCAGAGCGGGGCCCCCTCCCGCCCCGTGCAGCGCTGGCCAGGGTGGCAGGAGGGGCCGCAGGCTCTGCGGGCTCAGGGCGTGAGTGCCCCACGCGGCAGCCTGGGGTCCCGGGGACGGCCCTGCCCCTGCCCCTCAGGAGCCCGCCCGCCAGGCACCCCAAACCAAGCGTGTCCACCTCTCCTCCCGGACGCCATCAAGCAGCCGAGACGTGTGCGGGGGAGTGAGGACGGTGCTCCGACCACACAAGGAACAGCGACGCCAGAGCCCGTGTCGTCCTCCAAGAGACGCGAGCCTTGTGTTTGCAGCAGGAGAGTGTGGGGCGCGGCCGTGGCGGGGACCATGCCCGGCACGGGGTTGCGGGAGCACAGCGTCCGCCCTGCGGCCCTCCGTCCCCACGCGTGTCGGAAATATCTCGTTTAAACTAATAAAGTAAGTGAATCCCACGTCTTCACCAACCGCTGCGCAGACGGCATCGGGCGGCGCCCACGGCCTCCGGGACCGCAAGCCCAGCCCGTCTCCCTGCGCTCACGCCCCGAGCAGGGCACCACGGGCGGTGCGTGGAAGCCTGGAGGGGCGAGCCCATCGCCACCATCTTCCCACCGCCACTCGCTTGGCTCTGTGTCCGGGCCACGTTCCGGCACTTGTTGCATTGCAGACTTCCATTGTCATCGTATTTGCTACAGCGACCGGCGATCAGCAACCAGGACTCGCTGGCAGCCCCGATGACGGCTAGCGTATTTTACTTCTGTTTTTGGCAATAAAGTACTTTCAAAGTCGGGCATGCACACTTTGGGGGCGTAACGCTCTAGCGTCCGCAGCGGAGTCTGGGACAGCACGAACGTGACGTCTACGTGCACTGGGAAACCAAAGAAGTCAAGCGCCTCGCTGGGCTGCGGCATCCGCTCGGCTGGGCCCGGGGGCACCTTCCCTCGCTGGCCGGCGGCCCGAGGCTCCCGCCGCATCCCGGGCTGCGCCCCGCGATCCGCAAAGCTGCGACAGCGTCTGCCCTGCCACCACCCACAGCCACTGCTGCGGGAGGCTCCGGAGGCTCCACAGAGAAGGAAGCTGCCCCAGGACCTAAGGCCAACGGCCTCCCCGAAGAGGACCTGCGGGGGAGCTGCCACAGCGCCCCGCCCGCACGGCCATCCCGCAGACCCTTCCCCTCTGCCCTGCACCGTTTTCCACACCTTTCTAGGGCAAACCTTGGTGGCACAGACAGAGGGGAGAATCCCAGCGGCGGTGCCCCGGACGCAGCTGCCGGCGGCCACGCGGCCTGTGAGGGTTTCTGGGCCAGTTCCAGGCACGAGGGGCCCAGGTGTGAGGCCCTGCACCCACCAGGCTGGAGGCCACCCCAGGAGGCTCCAAGGCACGGAGCTGTTGTGCGGGGCCCCGGCTTCCCTAACACCTCTGCCCCGGCCTGACCCAGAAAACCTGAACCGTGAGCTCAGGAGAAGACGGGGTGGCCCAGGCCGGCGGAGGGCAGGGGCCCTGGACGTCCCGGCCGCCCGTCGGGGCCAGTGGCTGGGGGGTCCTGGAGCGAGTGCACACGGCCCCTGCCCCCCGCAAACAGCAGTTGCCGTGCACACGTCCCCTCGGGGTCTCCCCTGCAGACCACAGACAGCGCAGATCCGGGAGCCACTGTTCTGGCTTCTCAGAGACCCCGAAAGCCACAGCAGCCCATTAACAAGGGAGCAGTTTCCACTCACCGGCCTACAAAGGACTCAAATTTCCAAACGCATATGGTGCCAGATGCCAGGATTTAGAAATAAAATCTGACATCTGGGGCTTTTTAGCCAGTCTCTTTAAAAAACAGTTGTAGAAAACTCCCAGCCTTCGGTTTTATGTAGGTTTTTTAATTACTTAACGCTCTTCTTTTTAATTTTTTACAGTGCTGCAGTAGGAGCTTGGAAGCCAGATATAAAAACTTACATTACAGCTGACAAAACACAGCTCTGAGTCTCTGGTTTATGGGGAAACCAAAGTCTTCACGCATGTGGGTTCAGACAGCACAGCAGTGAGCCCCGCTTCAGCGCGGGTGAGGCCCCGCGGGAGGGCCAGCACCCCTGCGCACGCAGGCGCCGCCCGGCACGATCTGGGGCCCCCTCCCTTCTTAAAATGCAACATGTGGTCTTAATCTTGATGCTTAAGGTCTGCAAACAGTTTTCCAATTTCCGGAATGGCTTCTGGCCATTGGCAGGCCACCACTCCCAAAGATAATAGGTCGGGGGGGGGGGGGGGTGTCCGTAACCAGGCCTTCCCCTTCCCGGCTGCTTTACGGGCCGCCCGCCCACGGGGAGCGCGCACAGTGGCTGGAGGTGGCCCCGGGCAACCGCAGCCAGCTGAGGAGGAACTGCAGGCAGCACCTCCGTGTGGGGGACCCAAGAGGCGATTCTTGGGGGCCCTCTTCACAGGAGCCACCCCAGATTCCTTAGGAAATGGAAAGATTCCTGTTTCCCTTGGTATTCTAAATGCCAAAGATTTGAGCTCGGGCTCCCATCTGGTTCTGTGCGGGGGTGGGGCTTCTCCCGGGAGAACTACTCAGAGGAGGTTCCTTATGGGGCTGCAGAAGCAACCAGAAAGCAGCGGGGGAAAGGGGATGGGGTGGGGAGCACTGCGGACGTCCTGCCTCGGAAGGACCCAGACTGCAGCCTGAGATCCCGGAGCTGGAGGAGCCACGCACCCCCCGCTCCCGGCGCTCCCGGCTCATGCGGCCGGTGGAGGAGGCGCCCCCACAGCTCCAGCTCCAGCTCCACCTCAGGGACGGAGGAGGAAACTAAGCCTCACCGAGGTTAAGGAACCTGCTGTGCTCACACAGCTCGCTCACCCGTGGCCCAGGAAGCCGGGTTCGAGGGTCTGTGCGGCATGGACCTGCCCGGGCAACCCCCGCTGGTGCTCCTGCAGGGAAGTCTGACTTGCTCAGGCCTGGCCTGGAGGACCCGCCCGCCGCAGCAGAGTTCACCCTGAGCCTGGGCACCGTCCCCCCACCTCCCTGTTGCCTGGACTTGCTCTTGGCGATGCCATGACCTGTGGCCTAACGTGCTCATGGAGACCACCCTGTGTCCACACCGACCACCTCCCGAGCTCGGGCGTGCGCTGCCACGGGAACGGGAGGCCCCCAGGCAGAGCTGCTTCTCCTCCCTCCTGCTAGGAGGGGACAGGGAGGCAGTGACCGCCTCTGTGGAGAGCGATGGTGGCCCCTGCTGTGTAACGGGCAGGACGCAGGGGAACCCCGCACAACACAGTAGCCTGGGCCCTGGGCCCCAGGCCCCACAGAGCCCAAGCTGCGGGCCCGGATCTGGAGAGGGTCAGGGAGAAGTACCTTGGCTGCAGCCAGTTCGTGCGCGAGCTCCTGGACTTTCTGCTGCTGCTGAATCAGCAGCTCCTGGACAGACGCTAAAGTCATCTGTAGCTGAGTCACTGGGAGGAGAAAGCAGTCGCATCTGTTAAACGACACACAGATTCCTCCCCTCCCAGTCCACACACCTAGAGCTGCCGCATCTAACTTATCTGCAGCCCCCCCCCCCCCCCCGCCCCGGCCGGGGCCACGCACGGCATCTCTGCGCTCCGGGCCAGGTACCTGCACCGAGTCTAACCTCTCGCATCCCTGCTCCATCTTTCCACTGGGCACATGTCCGTGGCCAACAGTGTACCCGTCCTGAACCTCTCCCCTCCGATGACACGTGCTTATGGCTTCAGTGCTGCCCGCACGTCAGCCCCTCACAGGGTCCCCGTGGAACGCTCGGGCTCCCCGAAGCCGGCAGGAACGCGCCTCAGGCCTGCGATCCTGAGGGCCTGGAGAGAGACTACAAATCCTGCTCTCCTGCTGCCAGCCCCTCGCTGCCCTCCGCACCTAACCCCGAGGCTGCCGGAGCGCCCCCGGGTCACGGGGTCACCGGACCGAGTCTCCTTGGGCCCCCGCATCAGCCTCCCCGGGGCGGACACATCCGAGTGTTTCCGGGGCCTCTGCAAACACACCCCAGGGGGACAGCCTCCCGCCTGGGACACAAGTTCTGGCACTTGCCTGAGTTTTTAGATTCAGAGCCTCCTTCTAGTAAACAAGTTTTTAAAGAGGAAAAGCCACCTCTAGTGCGACAGGTCCCAGCTAATCTGGGCCATCGCTGGGGCACTGGGTAATGAACGCCAGCCCCGTGGAGTCGATGACAGAGGAGGTGGCCGGGGTCCCCGGAGCCGCAGTAATTACAGCCTTTCTTGACCTTGCGTTGGATTCTTAGAGGGAAGGGGGAAAAATCACTGAAACCCCCCTGAAAACCTCACAGAAGCAGAAATTAAAAATGAACTTTACAGCCCTTAGAAAGGCTGTCATTTTATTCCCCTTATTAATATTCTGAGGTTGGGAGCCTTTCCGTAAAAACATAATTAATTGAGGCCGCGCCGACAGTAAACAAGCAATTTCAAATTAAACCGAAATGACGGCGGCTTCATTTGCAAATGTGAACAGATTCTCAGAGCAGATAAATGAAGTCACCACATAAAGTGGAGCGGGGGGGGGGGGGGGCAGGGCAGAGACGGGGCTGCTTACCAAGGCTCGGAGGGCGACTTGATGGAGTCATTAATCTTTACCTGTCTGTGCCACGCTGCCACTCAGCTCCGAGAGGCTCGCCTCCATCCTCTCCAGGTGCTTCCTGTCCTCTCGGCCGCCCGTGATGAGGGGGAGCAGGTATCTCTATGAGGAGCAGGCTGGGCGTGAGCCCCCAGGCGTGGGTGCTCGGGGTCTCCCCAGCAAGGTCTGGGATTCTGAGCACCCGGATCCCCCCGGCCCTCTGGGCTTGGGAACCCGACGCAGACACCGCGAACGCGGTACTCGAGTCACGAGGCTGATGAAGAAGCTTCATAAGGACGAGGACCAGGAAGTAGGGACAAGTTAAGGTCAAGTTGGTCTACTTTTGGTCCTTTTATTTAATTATCTCAATGATACTACATATATTTCTATAACAACAACAACAAATAAAAATTGAAGTTCTGCTTTAAAAGTTGTAAGGTGGAAGTGTAGACGGGGATACAAGACCCGAGCCACAGGTGGCCTCAGGGAGCGGCGGAAGGCACGTTCCCGCTGTATATTTCCCTGATCCTTTAGGCGTTCTGAGCCTCGCGAAATGAATTATCATTCAGAGACAAATGAGTAAAAGAAAATAAACAAAATTATTGGAGAAACTGTATGGAAATCCACAGCAGATTTCTGGGCCACTGGTCCTTTCACTAGGGAATAACGTAAGGTATTCCGAGGCCGTCGAAAGAGGGCACACCTCAGTTTTTTTCTAAACCGTGCCTTGAACCCTCAGAACCAGTGTCCTTCGGGTAAGAGCCAAATGCAGTCAAATGCCCCCGGACACAAGGGCAGAAGCTGAAGACACCGGCCCCGGGGAGAAGGAAGCGGACGCCACAGGGCAACCAACAAGGGGGCCCAGAATCCGGGAGCCCAGGGCAGGGTGAGGGTCCTAGGACATTCAGAAAGAAGGCAAGGGGGACGTGGCCGGTAACCGGCTGCCTACTTTGAGGTGGGAAGGGGCAGGCGGCGGGCAGCAGGGTGACGCTGGAGGCCCGCGTGACGCTACTCGCGCTTCCCCTCTGAAAGCTCAGGACTTGGCGCCTCTCGTTTCAGAAGCGTGAGCCCAGTCCCAGCTTTCTCGGGGTGCGCTGGAGGCAGCACAGCCCGGCTGGCAGGCGTGGTGACCGGCAGGCGGGACCCAAGCCCTTGGCTTTCCTAATCCGTTTGGGGCCCACATGGGGAAAAGAAAGACGGCAACTTGTCCATCAGGGTTTCTGTCCTGGGGAAGGAGAAGGAGGGCTCTCACGAGGGGTTTGCGGAGAACTCACTTCAAGAGCGACTCCTGAGTGGAGATCGTTATTCAGCAGACACAGAGAAGCATCTTCTATTTTGCAAAGTGCTTTTCAAGCACCGTGTGAGTTATTACCCACAACTGAGCCGAAACTCATCCAATGTGCAGCCTTACACTCCAGGTTCAAAGGTTCCTGAGATTCTTAGGTGTAACAAACTACAAATTCTAACTCTGAGACCAAAAAAGCCGAAGGAAGGAGCACACACGCTAGCTGCCCCAGCCTGGATCATTACGTATCCCTAAGATAGTAAGGTGGTGGCTCTTACTGCTTCTTTAGTTTAAAGAAACTAAAGAAATTCTCGTCAGCATTGCAACCGATCTTTCAATGTCTCTTTTATTTTTAAGGCCAAGAATAAAGATCAGAGCTTCGTGGCAAGAACCGAAGACACCTCTGCTTTGCTCTGACGGGAGCTGCGCTCCACTTGCGCTGGACCCCGGCCGTCCGAGGGGGCCACGTGATGACTGGGCCCCACTTAGTAGAACTGGGACGTTATTTTGAGGATTCTATCTTAGCATTTTATTCTTCTCGGTGACTGTACGCAGTTAGCTACTTGGAAACAGGCTCTTCGTACACAGGGTAAGGAGGGGCGTGCATCGGGTCGTGGGAGAAGCCCCAGGACCTAGGACATTTTGCTTCGGGATTCCTGACATGGAAATTTCCAATTCCAAGAAGAGACGTTGCTCTGAAAAAACCATACTCTCCTACACCGCTGTCACTAGCGTTTGCACGAAGTCAAAAATTAAGAATCCCAGAGCACAGTGTTCAAACACGTTTCACGTACTAAAAGTTACAATGGTGACTGAATCTGGGTGTTCATTCGGATTCTTTTTTTTTTTTTTTTATCACCAAATAAGGGGTGGAGTTGCAGGTGGCCTCAGGGGGAAAGAGGCCTTCTCTCTGGGACCAGCAGACGGCAAGTCCTCCCGTCCCTATTTTACCTTTTGTCTCCGGGACCTAACCCCGCTCTGCATCTTCCAGAAAAGACTCACTTGCTTCAAATCAAAGTGAGGATCTGGTAGTTCGCATCTGGCCAGTATTTGGTACCAAGGGAGTACACGCTCCCGTCATGCCTGCAGCTCTGCTGTAAGCAGTGACGTCTGGGATCCTGAGGGCTGACTATGAAGTTTGGGAAAAAATAAACCTAGGGATTTACACAGACGCCAACAAAATATATAGGAAACAAAAACAGAGCCCATAAATATGATACTGAGATTCCAAAGCCAGTTCCAAATACTCGAGTAGAATAATGGCACATAGAGCTCTTCCTGTGCGCCGGCACATGGCGCTTTCTGAGGGTGCGCTGACCCTTGGAGCCTCACAGCGGCCTCGTGAGACCGGTACCGTTGTCCCCACTTTACAGATGGGACCACCGAGCTCCTACTAAGTGGCCGAGTCGGGATGTAATGCGGCAGCTGGGCTCAGTGTTCCTGCTCTCAACTACCTTGTCATTCTGTCTCTTAAAAACGTCCTGACTACTCAGCACGTGCGGGCACTGTTCTAAGTCCTCGACGTGGCCTGCTGACCGACGGGCCCCAGAGTCACTGCAGTGGGGGCTCTGAGGTGCGACACCCAGGGCAGCAGGTGCGCAGGGTCTGAGGTCGCCAAGGGCACCCATCCAAGCGGGGGGCAGGTGGAGAGTGAACCGGTGAATCGGGCGGGCGGGCGCCCCCCCCGCCCTCCCCTCCCCACGCAGAAACCGTGCTCACTCGTGCACTCTGCCTCCACACGGCCCCTCTCCTGCCATCGTGCCCCAGGGCTGAGCGTCTCGACACAGGTGAACCTTGGGACTGGGGAGAAGGGGGTCGGGGGACACAGAGCGGGGGCGGACATACCTTGTAGAGCTGGTGAAAGCCGAACACAATGCCTGTCGTGATGACGGCCAAGGCCCCGTAGTCTCTCCATCGGGACCCCACAGGGCCTGAGGGTGGGAGCAGAGGCGGGTCAGGAGGAGCACACACATCTCTCCCGGGCAGGGGAGAGCACAGGTACCGCCTCCTCCTCTCGAAGGATCGTCAACTGTGATGCGGCTGCACAGGACAGCAGGACAAGCGGGAACAGCGCTCCAGGGACACCCCGCCTCAGCCGCACCCCTGCCGCGGGGCAGTCGGGTGGCAGAGGCGTCCACACTTGGGACAGAGGGTGCAGTGAGGCTGACGCAGACACAGGTCCCCAGGCCCTCCCTCGGACAGGGAGGAGCAAAGAGCCACCTCAGAGCCGGGGGAGGGACAGGAGGAGGCTGCATGCTGTTTGTAGGACCGCATGAGGCGTCAGCTGTGCGCCCAACAGGGTCAGGGGCCCCGGAGCGTGTGGCAGTGAGGCCCCGTGCCCGTCTGCTCTGCCCTGGAACCGCTGCAGGACGCAGCTTACAAGTGACCAAACAAGGTCAGTGCAGAGACTGCTCGAGGAGGCCCAACGGTTGGGGTGCCTGGCGGGCTCAGCTATACGACTGCAATGTACGACCCTTGACCTCGGGGTCCCGACTCGAGCCCCACGTCGGGTGGAGAGAGGACTTCAATAAATAAGATCTTCAAGCAACAAGAAGGCCCAACGAGGCGATGAGAGTGGGGGAGGGCCGGGGAGGGGAGCCAGGGGCCGCAGAGCCTTGGAGGAGGCAGATGCTGAAGCATGTGGGGTCCCTGGGCCAGAGATCCAGGCAGGGGACAGCAACGTGGCGGCGCAGGCTGACCTGCGCTCAAAGGACAGAAGGCGGCCAGTGTGGCCCGAGTGAGCCCCTGGGCCTACCCAAGAGGAGAGGCCAGCAAGAACAGGGAGGGTCAGCCAGGCGGGAGCGGTGGAGGGTGGAGGGGGGGGGGGGAGGTGGGACACGCCGTGGCTGGGTGTGGAGCGTGGCCAAGGAACCAGATCGTGTCACAAGCGGTAGGGTCACGAACCAGATCGTCACTAGCAGTAGGGTCACGGGAGGCTCTGAGTCCACGAGTGACCCAGTCAGCTCTATGCTCAGGGAGAACAGCGTTGGGGACCCTCGATGGCAGAGGGGGGCAGAGGTGGGGAGGCGGCTGCTGCCCGGGACCATGGAAAGTAAGACAGACAGGACAGGATGAGAGGCTGGGGAGAATGCATGCTGCTGCCGTGGGGGACCCGGAGTCACACAGGAGCAGGCCCCCGGCCCGGGGCTCCAGAACGCCACTTAGGAGATGCCCCCACTGCCGAGCGGAGTTCCGACCCCACAGGAGCACAGCGGGGTTTGCTACCTCGTAATCTTTCCCACGGACTGTTTACAAGGTGCCTGTGTGTCCATAATCTTCTCTGATGCTCTGCCTCCGCTCAAGGGATCGGCCGTGGAAGGCACTGCCCACCGTCTCCACAATGACCGACACTGCAGGACACTGGTCAGTCTGCAGAATCAGACCACGGTGCCCGTGCCAAGTCATCCAGGAGGCACCCTTTCTGCTACGACAAGGGAGCTGGGCTCCGGATGCGCATTTGGGAGAGAAAAGGTGAAGCAGAAGAGCAACCCAAACTTCTTGAGAAGAGCGCCACTGCTCTCAGGGCAAAGCCCACGGGACACCGTGTGTCCCAGCCTCCTCCTCCCCCCTCCGGTGCCTGCAAGCCCCCCAGGAGCCCCCCGCGTCTCCTGACCAAAGGGGAGGAGAGCGACCTCCTCCAGGCTCAGGAGCAGGACGCAGGTCACCGGGGGATCCAAGGGGCCAAGACCTCCCAGGGGACGGGGTGGATGCTCCCTCCCCCCTGAGCTGCTGAATCGGGTCTTAGGAGGCAGATGTGACAGTGATGCAGGGGCCTGGAAGGGTCTCGGGTTGGCCACCTGCCCCCACTGCTGGCACAGCCTGTGGATCCCAAACCAGCCTCCCGAAGTGGCCCAGGCCTGGACTCTCCTGCACAAACTGTGATCAACAGGTGGTCTCTCCCTCAGCCCTCAACTCCCCTTCTGTTTTACAGCTTTTGAATCAGCCGATAGAGGCATGTGGTCCAAACAGCACGTGGCTCCGTCAGTCTACTGCCAACAGGCTCCTCCACCACAAGAGCCACTGGAACAGCCTCCCGTCCGTCCCGCCGGAGGCTCTGAATGCACGTGTGAGGCAACCCCGACACGCACCGTGTTCCTTCTGCTTCCCTACTTCGCATCCTGCTTTCCTCATAGCCGTGTGGCATTCCACTCAAGCTATCCCCCCACTGATTTCCGGCCTCTTACTATTCCCCAAGGGCCGTGTACATACGTCACCTCACGTAAGTGTTCGAGCACACCTGTACACGTGAACTCGTAGGAGCCTGGATCAGAGGAACGTGCAATCTGTAGTTTTGAGAGATCCTGTCAGGTGGTCCTCCGGGGAGCTGAGCCAGGCCGCCCCCACCAGCCACGTCCGAGAGTGCCCATCCCCTTGTGGCCACTCTAGCACCACGGGCTCAGCCACTCGGACTCCGCCCACACCAGGTGGAAAGGAGTACTTCACGCCCATTGTCATTTGCATCCACCTCACTGAGCACCTGCACTGCCGCGGCCCTTTCGGCACATTGTATGTGATCCCTACTCTTCTCAGTTTCTTTATCAATTTCATCAACTTGTAGAAAGTTCTTATATAGCTGAATGGAGTTTCAGGAGGCAGAGGCGACAGTGATGGAGGAGCCTGGACAGTCTGTGACAAAAATCCCTCCCCGTATATTTTTCTTTTGACTCTGCCTATGGTGTCTCCTGGTGTGTAGCTTTTCCACGTTGTGTATAAATGTGTCCATCTACTCTCCCACGGGCTCTGGGAAGTGGGTTATGGCAAGCCCGGACCTCCTCATTCCCTTCCAGGGTTGTGCAGGGACACTCAGGGTCCCAGGAACTGCCTCCAGAACACAGCTCCACTGGGGCGCCTGCGTGGCTCAGTCAGTTAAGTGTCTAACTCTTGATTTTGGCTCAGGTCATGATCTCAGGGTCCTGGGATGGATGGAGCCCGCTTGAGAGTCTCTCTCCCTCTCCCTCTGCCCCTCCCCCATCTCCAAAAAGAGAAAGAGCTCCTTTCTGCTGCTCTGCTGTAGTGAACATCCCATCCCCATCCTACAAGCGTCTACGTGGTGTTATGTGAGCACCGCGGCTCACAGAACCCAAAGCTCTGAGACCCGTGACACAGATGGACCTCTCACCCTGACCCAGCGGAGCCAGGAGGCTCTGAGTCCTTGGCAACCTTCTCATTGGTCTCGCTCTGAGCCCACGCTGCTCCGAGTGCTCTGACGCAACAACCAAGATCCAGTACAAGCTCATTTTTAAGAGGAAAAGGTGGAGATAGAGTAACCCCGTCACTCTTCAAGAGACTCACTGGTCAGAAGAGCTTCCGTCCACACCCAGCACACCCGTCTGTGCTGTCAGAGTCCCCAGAGACAACACCTTCAAGATGGGCATGCGTCCAGTATATCGTGTTCACCACTGACTTCTCAAATCCCCACTCAATACCCTGCAAGGAAACAGCTGCAACAGGGCAAGAAACTGGACCAGAACCCAAAGTGTTCCTGGGTCCTTCTTTCCCGCAGTGTATGGCGTCTTGGGAAGCACAGCCACTCACCGTGGGTACTGGAGCCGGGAGGCTGAGCAGGTGCTGGCAGTTCAGGGGTGCGCGAACCGGAACCCCCGCGGCAGCTGCTGCCACCTTCCCAGAACTCTGACCTCCTCAAGCACCAAGCAACACCTGTGGCTCCCTGCCGGGTGCACCCTTCGCCCCCCGCACTGTGGCTCGTCCCTGACATGCTCACGTTAAGAACATTTTATTGCCCCTTGGTTTTCATTATTAATGAAAAGGGACCAGAATGATCTTTCCTAAAGTTCAGAGAGTCTATAAAGACAAGAAGCTGAAATGCCATTTTACTCGTTTTGGAGATGTGTGATACAATTCTGTCTTGTGGCAAAATGAAAAAAAGAGAGAAACTAAGATAGAGGGAAACTGACCTGCTGCACGCCTTTCAAAGGGTAGCCGAGCAGAGCGACTGAGAAAGCACTCGGTGTGATCCCAAACTGGCTCAAAGCCCCAGCCCTGACCACCTGGAGTCCTCCCAGCTGCCCACCCTGGGGCCCATCTTTGCCAAGGCCAGTGCAGACCCACACAACGGAATGGAGAGCAGGGCACCGGGTGCCCAGGCTCCCCAAATGTCCAGAATTTTACAGTCAAGAACAGAGACCAGACCAATCACTTTTCTGCTCTTGCTTGGAAATAAAAGTAGTGCAACGAATGCGCTTTTTAGAAGCTTCAGAACCTCGTCTGGAAGCCTGTGTACAAAGAAGACAAGAAGCCTGAGATCAGAGATCCCATGGAGGTTGGAGCCACCAACCCGATGGCCCCCAAGGATGTTCTCTCCTTACCAAGCAGGCCACTTGACTGAGGACGGCAGAGCTTTGCTACGTTGGAAGAATGGAGGGACGGTGATGTACTTACTGTCGCTCAGACTCCAACTGCCCCAGCGCGTCCCCAGCAGGCACGACCAGCTAACGAGCTGCATGGCCTGACACTTTACCAAGACCGCATCGCTGGCATCCCGCAAAGAATGGAGAGACCGTCAGCCCCCCCCAACTCCCCCCCCACTCCCGGCCCCCAGGCACTGCCCCCTGCCTCAGGCTGTGGCAAGGTCAGAGGGCAAATCGCTGCAGGGAGAAGAGCACAGGGCTCTTGGAAACAAGGCCTCCTTGAACCTCCCAGGCACTCTGTCACTAGCTTGAGCTCAGATGGTCTCCATGGAGGTCTGTCGGCCCAAAGGGCCGGGGTTCAGGCGAATCCACGGCGGAAGGTGCCCTGTCAGAGGCTGGGAGACGCATCCCTGTGGCTCCTAAACCATCGGTGAACACAACTAAACCGACGTTACTCCATTCTTTTAGCCAAACCTCCACTGACCAAGAGAGCCTGAGCCAGCAGGCGGGAACAGACATCGGGGAACATGGGCGGCCCGGGACTCCCACCACGACTCAGCAGC